GTAAGATGATATGGAAGATAGTAGAACAACTCTCTTACAGTATACAAGCCATAGAAATAGTACCCATCAATCTAATTCACCACAAAAACTCATAGAAACCTATTTCTTGTCTATTGTAAAAGAAAGTTTCTAGTTATGACAAGCAAGAAAATATTCCTGATTTCTCTCTATTGTCAATGTAAGTCTAGAAGTGTCAACGAGATCAGTTCTACCAATCACCAAATAAAGCAACAGCTCCAACAATAAACATACACTCCTTTCGTCTCCTTTGAAAGTATTTCGGTCATTCATTTATTCGCTGTTTTGTTGTGAATTGATTTCGGATTGGCGCGGCGTGTAAAATGAGTTTGAACGAACCGTTGATAGATAGAAAAGAAGATGCTTATTCTATTCTTCGAACTTATTACGACCAGTTTTCTTCAGCTGGGGGAAAATTAGATCTTTTACGTCCTGCAGCTTGCTTCTCCCCTCACATTTTTGGGGCGGGCAAAAGCTTTGTAGGTCAAAAATTTTTAGAGTTTTTAAAAAAATTCGCCGACGAAGAGGAAGAGCAGACGAAGACGGAGGTTTTCAACAAGAGCTCGTCGGGAAAAGTTGATGCGAAGATTTTTTCTTGGAAGCAATTTGCGGAAAACACTTTGTCAGTTTGCTTTAAACTAGGAGAGAGCTTTTCTCGTGCTCCTTTTCCAAGGTTTCTAGAGGCTTTGATGTATAACATAACTATGGCTACAGCCGAGTGTAATGGTAACACTGACCGAGAAAATGGAAAAGACACGGACGCAGCGATGAAGAAACCTAATATCGCAGGAGCTATCCAGTATCTTCTCGAACAATTTCAGAAACAATATTTATTTTTGATGATAGACGAACTTAGCCACCTGAGTGACCTCACCAAATACTATAGTGAACTTACCATGAAACAGTTTGTCGAGTCCGATCCTGGTTATATCCCGTATCGCAAATTTTTTCGAACTGTATATGAGTTGCTTGATACAGGAAAAGTTATCTTGTATCTTGCTGGGCGAACTGCTGAAATCTCAGCCCGCCTGTCTGATGCTCGCTCCAGTAGAGTGAGTCTCCGTATGTTGCGGTTGAATCCCTTTAACCTCCATGATATTAACGAATATATTGAGCTGGCAACTTATGATGGAAAGTCCTTGAAGGACTGTTTATTGCCCTCTGATGAATTACGATATCGATTCGTAGAATTGTTGAAGAAGAAGACAGGGGGTATTCCGTTGATTGTAAAGAATACTTTACTAGCCCTAGTAGGGAAACTTGCAAACTTATCTCAACCTGTTATCAACAATGACAATATGGAATTTTTATTAGATAGTGTCTTTGCAGATATACTAAATGAGTCGGGAACGTTTATTATTCCGGAGATATTAGATTCCGCAACCCTTCTTCGATATGAATTTGTCTTTTTGAATTATCAACTCGGAACAATTTTCCCAATCGGATTTGCAACTACTCTATGTGGAACAAAAACTTATTTGATGGACTTGGTTGCAACTTTTGGGTTTTATTCTGAAATTTGTGAAACTGACGGGATTGATTTGGGCACTAAGTTCAAGATTGGTTGTTGTGAATTTATATTGAGAGCTCATAGCAACTATAACTTTTTCCGTGAGGCTACTGAACTCTTTCCTTTATCTCCGTTTAGTTATATTCCCGACACTTCAACAGCAAAAGGAGTCTTCTTTGAATTTGTATTTATGAAGATCTTTCGCTTTCGCTTATTAACTTTTCTTCATTCTAATTCCTCGCCTATTGTACATTCTGCTATTCCAGGAATTTTCCAGGGTTCTTTTATTGAACAGGACAACGCTTCGTATTCTATAGAATCAACAAAATCTAATGATATACCCATCTTGAGAAATGTCTCTCATTCATTTTCTGATCATTATAGAGATTATTTACAACATTGTGGTATTTTTGTTCCAAAAGAGGGCAATTCGAGTGGCCCTGATGCATATGTTGTATTCCATAATGGACAAACACGTTATGTTGTTGGATTTTCATTCAAATTTTATCACAAAACTAAATTGTCGAAAAAAAATATTAACAAAGAAACAAAAAAATTTTTTAAGGGAGTTGTTTCCGTTTTGAATGACGAATCTTTTTCATCTGTTCAACTTCGTTTTCAGTTTGTGGTAGTATGTACTAGATATGATCAATCTGTAGGTTTCTCTACCGAAGAACAGAACATTGTTGAAGATGCAAGTCGTTTGGTGACTCAACATTCTTCGGGATCAACTTTGAATGAAAGTAGTCGATCATGTCTGCAATTGGTAATTGTTTCTCAAAGGAACCTTGAAGTATATTTGGGAAGAGATAATGTCGAAACGTTGAGGAAAATTGGGGAAGCAAACCGAGGAGAGTTTTCTAAAGACTTTTCAGTATGGTGTAAAACTCTCTTTGAGTCGATGTCTAATGAATATGTTTCGCCTTTGGAAGCTGAGCAATCAACTGTTACTGTTAGAGTGGCTCGAAATATAAGACCGAGAACCAATGAGGAGAATAGGATGCAAATGGAAGGTTTTCAAAGTGCTATGCAAGTGGCAGGTACTCGAGACGAAGCGACTACTTCTTCGGTTAGTTCGGTGCAACAAAATCCTTTTGACTGGATGAACTTTTTGAAAGCATATTGTCATTTAAATGAGGAAGAAGCGAGTAAATGTTATGAATGCCTTTGGACTTTTTCAGAGCGAGACATTGGATTCATAAGTTCGGATATATTGCAACAAGTTGGTATCGATGATACGTTGTTGCGAGTCAAGGTTGTTGCTGGTATGAGAAATTATGTGAGAAACAATCCTCGAACTTGAAATGTTCTATGTTCGTTTTTACAAATAAATATTCAAGTCTTGTGTATTCATAGCTTTTCTAATGCAAGTGTCCTTTCGTTGAATACGAAATATTTCAACTGAAGAAACCGCCATTCATTAACTGTGATATAAGAGCAGTACTTAGCATTGTTTTGAGCATCTCTAATCTATGCAACATGGACTCACAATTCGGTACTGCAAAACAATATTGAAATATCCATGTATTTGCAGTAGATAAGATGAGGATGAACTTTCATCTTCTGAGCCATTTAGATAGAACCAATGATTTGACTTGGCTCATATTCTGGAATATATTTGGGTGTTTCTACTTGTTGCAAAAGTGAAAAATTTTTCTAAGAGCACTGTTTGATCTCTTGAAAGAGGTTTGAATGTCTAAAAGAGAAAACACTTGGAAAATATCTCCTTCAAGTTATGCATATCTCATAAAGGGATGAGTCTCAAGTTTTCTTTTTTTGAAGATAGGTGAAATATTTCAGGATAAGAAAGAACTGTAAGCTGTCTCAAAAATACTATTTTTTGAGGTGGTCTACGATGAGTAGGTTGACTATAAGAAGCTGACCCAAGGATATAAAATCTTGCGCTGATAGATGGATACACATTCTACTTACGATAAGAAGGATTGAAGGTCAAGAGTTACAATTATCTTGGTTCGATCGCAACATGAACAATCAATCATATGATAGTTTTGAACTTAAGTGGAAGTTTTAACAGTTTCCTTTCCTTGCACGGATACTTCGAGATTCGCTTCTATCTTCTATTATGCAAAGAAAATATTCTTCATTTTCCAAAATTTCCAACAGTATTTTCTCTTGCTCGATGAAGAACATCTGACAAAACCGAGTTTTATCTAATATGCCAAATAGCACATGAACTATCGTCAATTTTGGTCATAATCATTGAAAGAGAGAGTGGGATCGAGCTGAAGTTGATAGACTATAAAAAACGAATTGTTGATTGTAGAAAGAGTCCTTATGTAAGCCTTCATATACACGTAAAACCATCATGAGTCTTTTTGAGGTAAATTGCACTCTTACACTCTGTTATGTATGATGATACTCAACGTGCCAAGATATTCATAGAGAACGATGATATCGTTGAAGTAATAAAAGTTTGTAAAGGAAGAATGGATGAAACGTGCTCTCTAAAGAGCCAAAGAGCACCTTGCTCTCCAAGACAAACCCACCCTCAAGTTGTCTTTTAGTTGAGTTCTTCCAAGGCCATATGCGTATTGGTGAAAGATGCCTGTATATTTATTCTTAGAAGACTTGTTGTGATAATAAAAATTTCTTTTATGGCTTTCGTGATAACGGTACTGTGGAAAGGAGCCGCATCTAGTTGTATGATAGTTCTATATTAAAAGCTTTTGAAAGATATTATCAATAGTTGTAAAATTACGCCAAAGAGAGAACCTCATTGATCAGCAACTTACATCCAGTATCTCTCAAAACAATGGTTTGATAAGCCCTTCTTTCCACAACACGTATCAAAAACAAAGTTCATTCTATCATTCGTGTCATTCTCAACTTGTAAGTCAGCAATCAAAGTCTTCTGAAAAGTCTTGTTTGAGGAAAAGTCTGTTTTATATCTCTACCAACTAACATCTTGTCTTAACTTTTCATCTCTGCTGTTCTCCTAAATATGGCTTAAAGTCTTCTGGAATATCTTCCAATGTTATAAAATCAATGAACGATGGAGCATTAGATGTGCTGGCTTCATTCTTTCTCAGTGGAGTGACATACAAAATACATATTCGGTCTCTATAACATTGGCCATTACTCTCTGTTACTTCAAAATCTATTATAGTATCCGACTCATCTCGAATAGTCGATACTTGATAGTCGGACTGACCAAAAAGTGCTTTTAGTAAAGAAGCGAGATGTGAACTTTCAGGTGATCCAAACAAGTGCTCCATTCGAGCAAAGTCTCTGCTGTGTTCTGGAATAGATGAAATAGAAGCTTGAAAAAGGTACAATGTCCAATATCTAACCTTCCATTCGACATAAGCAAAATCGAACAGAGAATAATTCGTCATAAACCGGACCCAACAGGTATTCGTTATTTTCGATGCAAAAAAAAATAAAACTGCTTTCCATCAAATCTTATCCACTTCCTACTTTCCAGGTTTATCGTTTGCAAACAGGCTCTTGAACTAAGTTCAAGTTTTGGACATTTGCAAAGGCACCACAGGAAAAAGAGCTGCTCAAAATGGTCACCCTTTTCTATTCCTTCCGACGTTCGGAAACTGTTTAATAGTTCAATAAGATGATCTTAACTGAAAAAACAGTTGAAAAAGTGTCAAAAAGAATGTTACGTGCCATGCTGTTGTAAAAACGTAAGAGTCCGTTCTTCATAGTAATGAACAGACCACGCTCACGATAGGCACCATCACATACATACAGTTCCATAGGATATCCTTCAAGAAACAACTGACGACGCAATCGATAAAACTCAGCTTTGTCTTTCAACAAGTCGACGTAATCTTTATATTTCTGTTTCATTTCTGGGTAGTCATAATTTCTAAAAACTCCAGTCAATTGCTCAAAATTGGCATCTGGTTGTCGTGAGTGCTATTATTCGCGCTATTATTCTAGGAACCAATTCTGTAAGTTGAACAACATCTGGCAAATATTGACAAAGAAGAGTTGGATAATTATTTAAATTTTGCCGCAGTTCAAACTCTTCCGAATCTAATGGCTCCATATAATACTTGACGGTTGTAAACTACCGGCAAATTTATCTTCAAATTCACGATATTGCGAGCAAGCGATAAGAATTCTGCAAGAAAACTACCAAAGTTAACAGAGAGATTGATATAAAAAGAGAACAGTTTCTTATTGTACTCATCACTTCCATTTTCGTGTAAAACCAAAAAAAGTCGAGCCAAATGTTTTTTGTATTTCCTCGTTTTCAGGTCAAAATATATAATATTTTTGAAGAGGAGCGCCATTCAAAGAATCATAGCTTGATGCATGCATTAAAACTGGGCATCTCATCTAGAATATATCTACATTCATAAAAAGTAACATTTTCAAGTAAAGTGAAGTTACTTGCGAGGTACTCTTAACATCATTTAACCATAGAGCAATGTTTTCAATATACTGAAGGGGAACCCTACAATACTTGAAAACATCGCGGTGAGGTACAGATCTATGCTCTTCTCTAGACCACCTGCGGCTGAGAGAACAATCTGCTTGGGTCGAAAGTTGAAACTATTTTCACCAAAACCTTCAATGAGACTATGCCAATTCTTAATAAACTCTCGTCACAACAAAATTCTGGAGATTTTGCCTGCAAGTCGTTCTACTGAAAAATCATAGGTGAACTCTTTAGGAATAACCAGCTGTGTAATATCTGCGCAACGTTAAAGACTTCTCCCTATTTCTACTTTTTCTCCAACAATCGAGGCTACGGTTTTGAGTCTACAATTTTCTGAGAAGTCAGATAAACCCATTCGCCAGAAGCTACTATGCTTTTTTGGTCAATCTTAAACCTGCCAGGTAGAAATATCTCAAAGTCAACAAATCTTCCAAAGACACTATCACAACTCTGTGTGACTCCAGAAAGCAAGAAGCCTCCATATGTACAAAAGTCACTGTTGCAAGAACTGGTAGGCTTCATATTCAAATACGACAAAGGTTTTGTAAAACTTTTGCTCCACAAACGAAAGTCTCTTGTTCCTTACTTTACCTTTTTTCGACTTTGTTTTGATTGTACACTACTTGTGAAAAAAAAAGTAGAGTCAAACGACAAAGCAAAGCAACTGACAAACTACCCATCAATCTGTCCGCCAACTCGATTCCATCACAACTCCCATAATTTTTCTATTTGTAACTTTCATGACTTGCTCTATAAGAATTTCGTGCCTTGAAAGAAAATTACTACAAGTTGAAAGTGTCAAGAAATATTGTTTTACAGAATGCAAAGCTGTTTTAAAATGCAGCATTTGTTTCTAAAATGAAAGTAGTTTTGTTTTCAATCATTGTTAGCACTTGAATCACTCGTTTTGAAGGTAATAAGGACTGTCTTCTAATCACTATCCGGCTCAGAGAGTGCGTAAGTTTGCCAAAGATCTTTTCTATGGCTGACTTGTCATCTTGTCTTGATACCTGTAAGCAGTATTTTAGGAGTAGCCTTGAAGTCTTCTCCTTTATTACAAAATATATTGTACGATGAAATAGAAACAATTTCTAAGCATATGCACGATAAACGTCTTCTAGAAAGGAGTCTGGGTCTATTTTAAAGTGTCTTGTTGTCGTTGCATTTTATAGTTGGTTTCCAAATTGTTTGCTCGAAGAATGTCCAGTTGCTTGCAGTATTTAAGATACCCAGAAGGAAACAAGATGAGATTGACTGTCATGAAAATAAATGCAATCACCTTGATTCTCACGAGACTCGATGAAGATTTCTTTTTTTTCTCTTTCTTAAATTGCATCTTTGATGTCCAATGTTGAAAGATGATTGTTGTCAATTTTTGGTTGTGAATGGAGCTGCCAATGCTGAAAATATTTCAACGTAATGTTTCTTTGTTTCTGAATATTTGTTCTGTCACATTGGAAACAAATACTGAACATGAGTTCGATTTAATTCTTTGAAAAGTTCTGAAAGTCTTTCTTGAACTTTTGACGCAATCACGCATTTCGACAATCTTTGAAATATTTTTTGTATTTCATCTTTCAATCCCCATTGAACTAGACAAAACGAAAGTTCGATATTGTTTTTCGACGGCATAAGAGTTATTCTTTTTCGTATATGTCTTTATTTTCTGTTCTCCTTTCCAAAAAGTTCCGTCTTCAGTTCCTTGTTTTATGTTTTCTGCTTTCAATATCTCCTCTTCTTGCAGTTTTTCTTCTTGAATATACAAATTGTTCCCTCATAATGGTAAATACTTGATGATCTCTCTAGGTATTTTTCTTTCGAACCTTTCTACATGTGAAGCATAGCTTATTCTTCATTTTTGTTTCTTACATATTCTAATATTTGACATTTTTCGTATTTTGAACTTTGACTATTGCCTTCTTTGCTTATTCAACTGGAAACTGTCAATATTCTAGTTTTTTGGAGTATTTTTTTATCAGGTTTTTTTACAGATCTGTCTGCTGCTTTTTACTTACATGCACTCGACATTTTTGTATTTGCTCTGTGGTTTCAATGCAAACGAGTGACTTTGATAGTATGAAAAACGAACAATCAATCAATGTACTAAAATAGGTCATCTTCAGAAGTCTTCATCCATTTTCTTTCTAATCTTTTCTGCAGTATTTTCGTCTTTCTTATCAATGTACTCCGCAACTCTCTATCTCTGCTCATTTCTATTGTTTTTTTTTGAGCCAAGCCTCTTGTTCGTAAAGAATAGACAAAGATTTTCATTACAGACACAATGTTACTGAATCTCTAAAAAAATATCCCAGTTACAATGCCTTGGAAGTTTATAAACATCGTTTACTTGAAACTCTTTCATAGACCCATTCAATGTCTCAGTATGAGCAGTTTATACCGATTCTTGTTTACGACTACGCTTTTGGTATCCTTGATACATAAAATAGAAACCAAATTTGAACAAATTGTATCAGAAGCTATTTTCGACGATAAGTAATCAATCCATTTTATTACAAAATATATGATCAGACTTTATTTCATGTAGAATGATTGGAAGTTGCTCAACGAAATCCTTTTTGTCAACTCCATAAAAAGATGTTTCCTTTTAATAAACTGTGAAATCTCTTCTATAGAGTTGTGTAGTTCATTATGACAGTCGAACAGAATACTGAACCACGTCGTTTCCTTAGTTCAGATCCTCATTTGACAAAATAAATGAATAGTGGAGAAATTCAGACTCGGGAGGATGCACAACACCCGCACAAAGTAACCTAAAGTTTCTACATCCCTACTTCTTACTTGGGAGATTGAGAATCTTAAAAAGATAACCTATGAATTGTGTCATTTTCATCGGATTGAATTGCCTTTTAAAGACTTATTTGCACTTGTTATCTTCACAAAAAAGTAGGAAACATAACAAAACTGAGTACATTAACCAAGCTTCAGAATTTGAAATGGATTTAGCCAAGCAGATGGCAGGGTGGAACATAATTTCTTACTCAACTAATTTCACAGAAACAAAGATACAACATCTTTATCAAACTTGCATTCACAAAGCGCAACAACACAATAGCACAAAACCAAATGATAATTCTAAATTCAATCATTCTGGCAAAGTGAAAAAAAAACAATTGTCTTGTAGTATCAACATCAATACCCTTCAAAATAGTTTGTTCTTGAACTCAAAAGATTTCATGAAACCCTGCAAAATACTAGCATAAAAAGGCTTCGACCTCTTCTTTTTAAAGAACAACTCACAATGCATTTCAAAGTATGGCAAAGCCCTCCGCGAATCTGTTATAAGACTATCCCCATAGCTGAGAGTGGTTCGTTTTGAAAAATGAAATAAACAGCAACTAGCAAAAGAAGAGGCATAGAGCAATCTTGAGCCACTGAGAGGTAACTTCGTTCCAAAATGAAACTCTCCAATGTGAGAACGACATTAAAGAAGAAATAATAACAGCAATGTATCCAAATAACCCTTATAAACGTTGGATCGGATGCCATTCGAAGCCCGATGAGGACGGAAGTAATGCAGTAGATGGCAAACGAGCACAAAACTCAACCAATACATGATGTTGGTTACCAGTTAAAAAAACTCTACAAGAACTCTGCGAACAACTTAAGAAGTAAAACTGTGTTAAAAAAAGGAGAGTTACCAAAGGAAGATTCAATATTCCAATATAATAACTCAGAAAGTGACACAAGTCATAAAGATCCAACTTGATCCAAGCAAAACGTTCTCTTTCCCGTAGAGAAAAAACTCGTGATACTCATCCATCATGAGCAGATTTGGAAAGCGTCTAGACTCAAGTAAGAGTCTTACAATGGTTGCATGGCTATACTTCTTTTTGGCACTCCCAAGTCCACCTATTGAGTGAGAATGTATCCTTGAATATCGACCCCTTCCATATTTTTCCTATCAGAATATTTCCAGTCCAACATTACTAAACTATCATTGTTAAGACACTTGATCACGGAAAGGTAAAGTTTCGCCATAGCAGCTTCGTCTAGATACATTTTGCAGAAAACACTTGTTCTCCCGAAAAGCTGAACAATCCACCCCAAATGAAAACCAAAAATAACGAAAAATAAAGTTTCACGCTCTTCCCAGCCTTCCAAGCAGTTGAAAATATTCAAATGTTGTTCTCACCACTTCTTTCAGTAATTGCCTAACTAGATGGTTTCATCTTTTTTGAATTTCTTAGCAACCTTCTTCTGTCAAACAATTTTTCTTCAAAGTTCTTCGGTTGCAAAAGCTTAAGGACTTCAGAAACTTCCTCTGTGCTTATACTTCAAACATAAGTGGATAACCCCCAGTCACTGGTTAGCAAGTAGATCGATATCTATATAGTTCCCCGTTCGAACAAGCCTACTAGTCGAATGCAACTTTGAATTTCGTAGTACGAGTTTTAACGATGGAATAGGAATAAAGACCAAACTACGCACAGAAAGAGAGACTATGACATTGTCTATCCATCCTAACCCTGGTGCTGTTGGTCTCTTTACCACTCTTTCGGAAACGGCAGAAAAAACAGAGAAACCTGACGTACAAGTTGAAAATATGGGAGAAGAGCCTCGATCTAAAACTGCTATTCTTTGTACTGAGAGAGATCCTGAGGATTCACCTCCTCTGATACTATGCGATCCATTATCAGCTTCGGAGGTTGCTCCACTTTGGAACGAGAAGGCCTTGAGAAAGGACAATCCTTCTTTATTACTCGAGATAGCGTAAAGAATTGACACATTTCGACCACTCTACAGAAGGTAATCCACAAAGAAGACGAGTACTCCAATAGTCAGTAGAAACGCGACCAAATAGTGTGTCGTTAGGGTTTAGCAAAGGAAAGGGTTCATACCTTGTTTCTTGTCACGACTTTGCTCAGAAATCCCCTACAGTCAGACACTCCTCTGTAATGGAACTCTAAAGGACCTTCCTGAAACCGACACATTTGCGTGAAGAACCCAATTTTATTTCGTTGAGAACAACTTCGCAAAGGTCAGGCGACTTTCTTTCCGATGGTCCCGCTACAGAAGCGATACTCGCCGGAGTCTGCACGACACTGCAGACCATTCTTTGACAAAGTCACTCAATGACAACTTTTATCGATCAGTTTATTGCTGGGACTTAATCGAATAGGGTAAGCATTGTTACAAGACAGAGAATCTCGTTCCTTCTTGAATATTTTTTCAAGAAGAGAGTTGAAAGGAGACTCAATTTTACAGATAGCATTGCAATGTTATGCATTTTAGCGTATAACGAAACCTTCGGCCAGTCTGCTATAAGACTGTTCCAATAGTTGAGAGTGGTTCGTTTTGAAAATGAAATAAACAGCAACTAGCACAAGAAGAGGTAGAGTGCAAGCTTGAACCACCAACGAATAACTTTCTTCTAGAATGAAATCCTCCGATGTAACAAGAATATTGCAGAAGAAATGATAACACCAAGGTATCCAGATAATATGTACATATCGGTGAAGAAAAGAAAGATTTGTTGGAACGGATACCATTCGAAATGCAATGAAAACAGCAGTACTGCAATGAAAAGCAAATTTGCAAAAAAGAGACCAAAACTCAATCAATATGCTAGAGAAAGTCCAAGCTCGTTTGGAAAAATAGTACGAGTCTAGCATCTGGTTACTCTGCTCTCCTATTGCAACACCCGCACCCACAGCTACTGCTTGTGCTACGAAGTTTTTGAGACTGTCTAAATGTCCTTGCTTTACTGCAATATATTTCACAGTTTCTTCTGTAAAAGCGCCTTGAAAGAACATAACCAAGTAAAGAATTGCAGTTTGCCAGCTGAAAGGAGTGTCGGAGTATGGAAATCCATAGGCTCCTGAAATTTTTACTAGCGCTACTACGAAGAGAGTGTTAAGTACCGGCACTGCGATGGAAAGTATGGTAGTCACAGCAAAGGAGTCAAACAGAAGCCATATATTCGAAGCTCTTAGGAAACGCACCACAAGATACAAAGCAAGAACTACCTCTACTAGAATACCGGGGAGCCAGAAAAGAAAAAGAAGGACCTCTTTGTTATAAATAAGTCGGAAAAGAGTTGGGGTCGAACCTAATAAGCAGTATAATATATTTCTAAAAGCTTGCGGCTGGGTTGTGCTATCTGAACTATTTCCCTCCATGTTAACCAATTTTTCTTTCAACTGAAGAGCGTTGACATCGTTTTAGCCGAAAACTTCGTTCCAATACTGTCTATGAGACATGTACAATGGACAGACTTTTTAGTTGCACAACTCTGTGAAACACTACATCTAAATTTCGATTTTGCTGAAATTTACGTTGTTAATCTGAAAGCTGCACTCATGAGTTCACGCAAACTTCCCCTATATATTTATGTAGTCTTCCTCTGCGTATTTGTTCAGTCCTGTATCTCCTTTTCCGAGTTTAGGGAAACAGATATAAGGGGTCTGGACAGCCCTGGGTCCAAAGATGCACTATATTCAAGCCTGCTCGAGCTACTCAACATGAGCTCAAATGTTACTTTAATTCGAGAAGCCATCGAGAACCGATTGGCCATTGAAGTTTTCAGAAGGTTATTACAGAATAGCTCATATCCTGATATCTCAGTTGGTAGTTTCCATTATATTATTAGATGCGGCGCATGTGTAATACTACATGGAGTGGACCTTTGTTATGTAATTACTGAGTCATGTTCTGGCGGTGGTTGTCCTGATCGCCTACTATGTGAACGTGAATGTTGTTGACTGTTGACATGTTTTAATAAAATCGATTTTCGCATTTCTGCTCCGATGATGAAAAGAATAAAAGTGGGAAAAGCGGGGTATTTGTCTTTCTTTTTATCTTCAACGACATCTAGAGTTTGTTTGGTTTTACAATTTTCCAAATCTTCCGTATTTATCATACGTATAAAATGAAATGCTTGAATTCCTAAAACTTAATGAGTTCCAAGGTGCAACGATATCTCTTCTACAGTGGTTTGCAACTCAAGTACGAGTTTGTCTGAATTCACACTTTGTAACTACCAGACGAAGCCATTGAAACGAAAAGAAATCAAGTTAACATGGTCGCTTTCGAAACATGTTGACGAAAATCTATTCAAGTTCGACAACGAAAACTACAAAAATAAAGGAGTAATACTGTAAAGGATCAAGGCCTTAACAAGGTTCATCTTAACCGTGTTTCAACTGATTGCAAATGACAAAGGAAAATTCGGAATAAGAGTAATATTGCTTTTTGGTCACTGAGAAAGGATGACACTTTAGAACATTGCGACAGAATCTTGAATAAGATCTTTTCCCAACTATGCAATAGATATGTTGGCTTCAATGCTTTGAGCATCAACAAAAATTTCTTCAATTTCCTCTGTTACAATTATCATATTCTTCAAAGACTTAACGCTGATTTAAGTCTTCTTAAATACCGCTTTCCAACAACGTATTAGTAGCACCCAAACCTAAATAGAAAATATGCACACACTCTCTCGAAAGCTACGAGGTTCTTCTTGAAAAGACTACAGATTTCCTTTAAAATATGTTGACTTGGGTTGCTTTTGAAACTGGACGCACATTTCATCCAATCGAAACAGACTTGTAGGCTACTTGTGAGTGTTTTGTTCCACTAATCTTTCAGAAACATAGCTGAACAAGCCAATAATCAATCATTGATAGAGCCAGGCACAGAAAAACAAGCGAGAGAAGAGATCTAAGAAGTTTTTATTGGTCTCAACAAGGAGTATCAGTGTTCAGGTCCCATTCTCACCGTTATTTTCTGATTGCGATAGTAACTTGTGGCAAATCACTGGATAGAAAAAACAGGATTCTTTACCAACGCAAGTTGAGCAGAAAGGAGAAACTTCCTTGTAGCTTTGCTAATAGGATTTCAAACTATTCCCGAAACCATCAGACTGTAGAACTCGAGTTGTATGGCAACCATGATAACATAGTTTTGTACTATTGTTTACTTCTCTTTTCCTATATTTTGTCCCTTTTATGCACAAAAACTCACAATGAAAGATAGAAAGGAGCTGAGGCAATTTTGAAGAGAATATTACTTGAGCGGACCTGAAGGTTGCTTCTTAGTTCTATAAAAATGACAAGTGAAACTACAAAAAAACATTTCAATTGTCACAATGAAGGGCTAGTGAATTGTACTGGTTGAAACCAATGCATAGTGAATAGACGAAAATGGATAGAGAACTAATATTTTCTTTAGCGACGACGCTACATTTATATAGACTTACGAAAATAATTTGGTTGGTAACGTATTAGTTGATTAAAAAGTTAAGACAGAAAATGATTATTGTTCTGTTCCAGTATCTGGATGTCTGTTCGATAAAGCTGTTGATTACCATTACAGATGAACAAATGACATTGAGCATTTACTAGGATTATTCACTCTATTTCAGCCGCAATGCTATAAATCAAGAATATGAATAATGAGTATGATTGAATACTCATTGCTAGAAAACTGCCCTTGAGCAACTTTTTCAGATGAGCTGCTTCCTTGGAATGAGTACCTTATACATGTAGAATCCCAAACTTCACTTGAGCAATGACTGAAAGCCGTAAGGTTTAAATGGATATGTGTTTCATTGTGTATAAGCAAAAAGGAGTCACAAGTTTCATTAAAGCAAAGCTCATTCAATACGATAAGAAAGTTTTTGAATGACTGACATTATTGTCATTTCACTAAAAGACCTTCTTGCTGACATTTCTATTGAATCCACATTCCAAACCTCTTCAAGTTGTTTCTTTCTTCAATGGAAACTTGCAAGATGGAACGAGAGAACTCTGAAGAAACGCCGAAAGACCTTTGACCATATTCTTTTTCTTCCAAAAACAGAAATATACAAGAAGGCATAGACGAACTCTACAATTTTTGAGAGAAAATGGACTGACAGCAATCAGAGGTGTCTTACAAGAAAGCAACTCCCGCGAGAAACGGTTCTATTAGTTACGTAAGTTGAAAAGATTCACAAAGTAACCAGCAAATCGAAACTGCCAAAGGTAGCGAAAAATTGGGTCAATGAGGACTTACCGGATAGGAGCCAAAGCAAACTCGACAAAGTGTTTTTCGTTTCTTCACGCGAGAAGAGCTTCGAAGACAACGACAAAGGAACTTGAAAGACAATGTCGATCCAACCATTTAGCTAGAGTTTAGTCGTCATTGGTATAGCTAAGCAAATCATATTTTCAAGTAGTCCCAAGGCATGAAACTCCTAGAAAGAATAATTTACGACTATACAGGTGGCAAGCCTACATATACTTCTTATGTATTATGCGTATTAGTAAATACGTATCAATCTGATCTACAATGGAGAGATTTATCAAAAGAAGAACTAAGGAACAATGTCGAAACCATTCCCATGATGGAAAGTCTTTTGTGAGAGTGAAAAGCATTGGACATGAAGAATATGCTGCTTTCTCTATGCTGCTTTTTGTCAGTATCTTCAGCGTTCCTCTTCATAGCAGAGAAGTATACTTTAGTCATTTGCAGTTGGGCGAATTTCTGAAAACGTTGCATACGCTCTGGATGTTGCCAGTCACTTTGGTTTTTATTATATGTATGAAGAAAGTACAAGGACTTTCAAGTTGGTTTATCCAAAGATTGTTTTGAAATATTTTTTGAGCGTGACTGTCTCCAATTGACACACACACTCTCTCTCTCTCATATTCCTGTGACTCGTGATTTATAGTTTGAAGTGTTGTTTGTTCTGGTATTATATCTTCGATTACGTCTTCGCTTCAAGTTGGGAGAACTCAGCATATTTAAAAATACGAAAGTGAAAGAATAGAAAGTGCAAAGAACAGTGAGGCAGAAAAATGTATTCCTCCTCCAAAGTTTATCTCTACTTATGATTCCGGAGTATTGTTATCCAATGAAGAAGATGTTTTCATTTCTTAGTCGCAACGATCAAGAGGATTCACTTGATGATTCGTGCATCTAAAAATGTCACCGAGTCAATGGTTACTTCATCTTTCGATGAAATAAATGAGAGAGTTCTCTCGGCATATTTCAATGCCGCGTATCTCATTGGAATTCCATTAAAGTGTTTCAACTTAACAGGCAAAGAAGAAGGGAGTGGACGTTCAGATGTTGGAGCTAAGGTAAGAAAGTTTTCTCTTTCCAGTATCACAACAAATTGACTTGGAATATTCAACTTGTTGCAAGTACGAAGTATACCCATCAAATTTTAAGCGAGTTTAGAGATAGTAAGCATTAGAAATTGGAGTGTGGAGTAGATGATGAAGATGATTGTGGACAAATCCTCTGTCGATCAATTGCTTCTCAACCTGCAGGTGGTACTACTACGGAATGTTTAACTGTTCCATCTCGTTTTCAGTTGGTTTGTTCGACCAATTCGTTGGAAACCATTTTTCGGACTGAATACCTATGAACTATTCGAAAGGATTTGGCAAAGAATACTTGCGCTTCAACAGATTCTGATATTGTTTTCATGGGTACTGCATTTACATACTTGTTACAGGAATTGTTAGGAGATGAACTGGTCAAAGTTGCAAGACAAGTTTTGTGGATGGGAACAGAACTAGAAAGGAATATATAAACCCAAGAGTGGATATTGGAATGTTATAAAAGATAAAAAATGTTGTGAAGGAAACGTTGCTGTATTCAGTTCCTTTTCTTTCTCATTGGATTGAAATTTTGTTCTTGCTCGAGTGAGTCTTTATATGACCATCGAGTTCATGAATATAATATGTTTGGAAGTTTTCGCGTCTTTTTTTGTCAGCTCTAAAATATATTTCCTTCGAAGACTTGATACACGGGACTGAGAGAGAGAGAGGATAATATTGTCAAGATGTTGTTCTGATTGCAAAGAGTTTCAGCAAAGTTAATCTTATCGTCATTATGCATGTTTGGTTTCAAAGTTCATTCTTTGTTGTCATCGCATTTTATGTACAATGATTGGATGCTGTATCGTTTTCAACTTTGAACAATTTTGCTAAAAAGATGAGTATTTGTTGAAACGGGATCGTACAAAGTAGACATACGATGGCACTCAACAGTTTGACTATCTTTGAAAAACACAGTTTCGTGCAGTGCATGTGAAGAATAAAGCGAAAGATACAAATTTCAAAAGGACAAAGATAGCATTGCTCCTCAACTCACGGAATAGTTTGAACAAATATTCAATACAAATTCGATCTCTTATGAAATGATTTAGAGATCCATTGGTTTTGAATATTTGCCAAAAAATACATTTTCATACTTATTTGCAATACTAACAACAATTGAAGTTTCAATAGGGTCCAAAATACAAGACTCTATCACTCAGTCTAGGTACTATTAAGAAAAAGCCTTCAAGTCTCCATTTTTGCGAATTCATTACTTTGCTCCAAGGTTCGATTTCGACTATGCATTTCCTTTAGTTGTAAATATATTTTCCTTGCAATATATCTACGCCATGTAGACTGAATCATAATAGCTGCATCATATCGTTGTTTATTTCTCTCTTCCGCTAATTTTTCTGCTGAAATGAAAAATTGTATGGAACCAACTAGCAACAACACTCAGAAATAATTTACCTTTTGCAGACAAACTTACCAATATCTTCTGATTGCACTGGTTGTGAATTCTCCCAACCACTACCCAACTCATTCGCAGTTACCCATAGCCCACCTCTCTCTGTTATCTCAAATATAACCCATACAAAAGTATTTTTCCCATCTCGAACAGACTTGCTTAGAATCAACTCTCCATGACCTAACAGGGGCATCAATCTTGCTTTGTTTCGAAGACGACCACTTCCATGAACTCTAATATCAACCGCTGTTTGACCATCTCCAAATGTGGTGAATACTTGAGAACGCCTTGCGGGAGGTTTTGTGCCTTGACAAAAGAAGCGTGCAAATCGTCCACCAGCAACTTCACATCCTACATGAATAGGTATACCGCCTTGTTCTATAGAAATGACTTCCACTTTGGGAGTATCTTTAGATAAGTAAGGCTTATCACTTTTACAATGATTGGGCTCCTCTTCAAAAAGCAAAGCATCTATATTAGATTGGGATGATGCAAGTAATGTATCATCTGCTGTATCCAACATGAGAAGTTCACCAGTGTCTTTATCAACCATTCTTCTTATTGTAGAATATTCCAACTTCTTCGCAATGAATAAATTGGTTTCATCTTCATCTTCACTATTGTTACTATAGCTATGAGATGCATCACTCGTGCTTTGCTGCATTGTAACGGAATCCTTATCTGGTTGATTTCCAACAAGATTCTCATCCTTCTTTTTCTTTCGAAATAAATTGGTAAAGGATGTGAAGTTCCATTTAGAGGAGTTGTTCTGTTTGCTTTCCTTCTGATAATTCCAAGGATCATCCTTATTGACTTCCATTCGGTCTTGTGCTAATTCCTCATCATCGTCTCCTGCTATCAACAAAGCATCGGCATTAGTTCCCATTTCTTTATGTTTTTGTTGCCATTGTTCTTCTGTAGGAGTTTTCCAAGAGCGAAATTTACTTTTCTTCTTCTTGCCGTGATTTCTGGATAGCGATTCCAAGTCTTCATCTATCCAATTAGGCGATAGGCTCTTGGAACGCACAACTGCAGGAGGCAATGAAACATGACCACTACCAATTCCGACACATTCTAATATGCGACGCAATAGATTGCGATAGTCCTTGTGTCCTTGCACACCTATCGCTGCCAAATCCACATTTTCTACCAATTCTATCGAAATAGATCTATCCTTTACATTATCTAACGTCTCATTATCATTCACAAAGTGATTGGTTCCATTGTTAGATACTTGTGCCTTCATCGTGACTCTTACTCTACGAATACCAGCTACACTAGTAGCACTATTGGCCATTCCACTATGATATCCAACATCATCAATATGTCTATATAACAACTCTAACGATAAAGCCACTTACCGATGAAAGAATGTTAGTGCCCAATCGGTTCCACAATATGCATTTACAAGACGACCACCAACCGCAGCTTTTGCCTTTTTCCATTGAGAAGGACTTCCTGTAACTGGTGCTCCAATAAGAAACGCATGATCAACTACGCCAAAACATCGTCTATCTGCCAATGAAAGTAGACATTTGAATACTACTCTAGCACCAAGTGAAAATCCTACTAAAGTGACTGGCCTATTTCCATGGCATCTTTCAGCTAGAACATCGGCTAAAGTATCTCCTGCTCCATCTGCTCGTGAAATAAGTTGAGACCAAGGCTAATGCCGTGTCAGTTCAATGAATGAAAATAAAACAAATATCACACTTACATTATCTATATAATCCATTACAGAGACGACTGTGAGAGGCCAAGCGATGGCAGCCAAAAAAGCACCAGCTATCAATGAAAATACTCCACCTAACTGAGTCACTGCTTGTTGAGCCAACGTTTGTGCTGTTTTACTCGCCCAAAACTTGGCAAAAGCTCTACCCATCTGCTTCAATCTTTTAGATTCCCATCGCAATGCAAACCGCTCAGAACAAGGAAGCAACTCTTCCAAGTCTGAAGCAAATATTGCTGCACAAGAGCCTGGTCTACTTCCAGATTTGCCAAGCCATCCAGGAATGGCAATGCAGACATGAAGACCAGGAGTATATGAATAAGCTGAACCTCCTTCTTCTTCATCACGGTTGGGATCCATTCCATCAGCTCTTTCAAACTTTCAAATATAAGTAAATATGTCATTAAATATATAAAAAGATCACTAACTAGAAATTCCTTCACTCGAGAACTTGTCCTTCTACGAGCTTTCTTTCCTGTTAAAGCAGCACCACCTGCACCGAATAGGGAACCTACAATGGTAGTTCCCATAGTAGTACCTGCCAAAGTACCTGCAGAAGCAAGACCCACTATAGAAAGTTAGTACATAAAACAAATAATAAGATGACAAACTCACTTGCAGCAAGTGCTGGTAATAGTAGAGGTGCAATGAGACCTCCAGTTAACCCAAAAACAACTCCACCAGCAACCGTTATTCCTCCAATCTTCAATGCTCGGATTCTTCTTCTTCTTGTTCTCAACTTTTCTATTCTGTGTCTAGCATCTTCCTCATCCCATGCATCTTCAACTGCATCGTCTATTTGTTGTTGATAAGAGGAAGAAGGCGCAATCGTTCTCTCTTGTTCCTCAGCATCATCTTGTTCTGTATCATGTTCAGATATTGGATGGGTCTCTATCAATTGTACAGCCAGTGCCATTTCAATCATAGCAAACTTGTTCCATTCGATAGAGAGTTGTGAACAAGTCCTTTGCAAAATGACTCGAGCTCGGGAGTCGTATTTCCCCCTACAAATAGCTACTTGAACAAGAGCTTGAATAGCACAAAACCTGTTGGACATATCTCCCAACAAGTTGACGCAATGAATCTTTGTTTCTTCCAACGTATCTTCGACCCTTTCACTTTCCAAACAAAGAGAAGGTATGCAAAGTATAGCTTGCTTAGCCTCTTCCTTTAAACCTAATGCATCCAATAAAATAGTCGAAAAACGGTTTGCAAAGTGTTTGTCGTCTTGTATCTTGTCCTTGGTTCTTCTAATTGTTTCTTGAGAAGAGGATGAATATACTATGACTTGTAGACCCACGTTCAACAAGTTGGAAAGAACGTTTACTACCAAACAACCAACTGCATATCTTTGGGCTTCATCAAAACTTTCAAAACCAAAGCTAGGTTGTCCTGTTCCTGTTGCTGTGGAGAGGAAAGCCACATTATTTTCTTCTGACCAGTTCTCAGACTGCTCTCCCAATTCCACCGGTAGCAGAGTAATAACTGCGTCACTTTCTTTTGCAAAGTCTTCCAAGTCCACTGAGTTGTTTTCCATTGGCAGCAAGTCATCGTTTTCCATAGCCGAGTTGGAGCCGTGCACTGCATCACTAACAGAGTTTTGTCGTTGTTCGCCTCGACCTTTATTTTCTTTGTGATAGTTATTAGTATATTTTGTTCCATCCACTCTAGATACGGGAGGTTGAGCTGGTGTGTTGTTCATATTGCCATCAAAGGCTAACAACAATACATCAAAAATAATTCTTTTCTTAGCACACCCCAAAAATAGGCGGACAAGTGTGGGAAGACTTTTAGAATATCGTTCTAAGAGAAATACAATTTGGACCTTATACTGAAAAACTAGTTACTATACATTTAGTGGATAGGTCAAGCCAATATATCAGTGAAAACCTAACAAATTCTATCATGTATGACTGGATAACAAATAGAACAGCTGAATGAATAAACCTTTTTCTTTATCCATTCATATATCAATGGAAAGAAACTGAGCCAAAACATTCAACGATTCCTAAGCCATGTGGCAATTCTTACAGACTGGTCTCCTATGGAAATGTTTGTTATTCTTGTTGAGTTTTGCGTATCTCTATTGGGTACCTTTTACAAAGGTAATGGAGCATTGTATTGGATCAAGTTTCTCAAGTTTTGGTGTCTAGGTCGAGGAAAGTTTTAATATTCAAGCAACTTTTGACTTGATATTCCATCCTCTTCAACTATCCTCCTATGATCACTTTGTCTTTCCTGGTGTGGTAAGTACTCTTGCAACACAATACAGCAGTCTTCTTTCTCATCCTTTTTTATTATGATATGAAGGTTCCAAGAACCTTTATAGGTGCTTTGTTAATATCCATCCCTTTGATACCCTTGCAACGCATCTTTGAGTGGTCTCCCTTGACCTGTTTGTTTGTTGTTCGTGCCACTTTATTGTTGTTGCTTCTCTCTACTATCTTACTATTGGAAAGAGCAACTTGTCATCGTTATGGGAGGGCAGTTGGAAATTGGTTTCTCTTGATAACTTGTTCTCAATTTCATATCTTATTCTATGGTTCACGATTATTACCCAACACTTTTGCACTAGTGTTTTCTAATCTTTTCCTTTCTCTTTTTCTGGAAGGACACTGGAATATATCCTTTTTCATTCTATCTTTTACTTGTGTCGTATTTCGCTTTGAACTTGTATTATTGTTAGCTGTTTCCTTTCTCATTGTACTTGGCCATCATCATAGACAAGTGTCGAAAAGTGTTATTCGATATGGTTTTTGGGGTTCCATCGTTGGAACACTACTTTCAGTTAGTATCGATTCTTTATTTTGGAAACGATTCTGTTTTCCAGAATTCGAAGCTTTTTATTTCAATGCCATTCAAGGACATTCTAAACAATGGGGTGTATTTCCTTTCTATTGGTATTTTACTCATGCCATACCCAAGTTGTTGATGGGAGCTTTGGGTGGTTTATCTATAGGTTGGATATTGGATAGAAGAACTTGGTCACTTTATATCATTTCCTTTGGTTATGTTGTTCTTTATTCATGTTTGGGACACAAAGAAGTTCGATTTATTTTCTATGTCGTTCCATTGTGGAATATTTGTTCTGCAGTTGGCATGGAATCCTTACGTAAGACAAGTAACAAATATCGACTTGCTATCTTTTTTTATAGAGGATTATGTTTCATGTTGATGCTTTCGTTGATCGTTTCTCTCTTTTGGGTGTGGATTTCTTCTCATAATTATCCTGGTGCTAAAGCCTTACAGACTCTACATCACATGCAGGAAGGATCAGTTCATATAGACCCAGCAGCAGCTATGACAGGCATTTCAAGATATCGTAAGTAGATATACTTTTGATGGTCTCTTATTGGATATTCATTGGTGTATAGTACAACAACCATCAGGAAATTGGAAATATTCTCGTCAAGAACATATCGATGACTTCACCTCATTCGATTATCTTATCACGGAAAAGAGTTTTGTGGAAAATTTTACAGTGAGTGGTGTGGTGATATTTGCTTTTTATATGTTACTCATTCAACTTGAGATGATTCGTTCTATCTTTGCGTTTTCTCAAATGGATTGGAAACATATCCAACCCATTTTTCAAACCAAAATATTTATACACGTTGCAAATAGTTCATTGACTTCCTTATAATAGAGGCAAATAGAATGGATTGCAAATAAACTTTATCAGTTACCATTCCTTCTCCCAATAATTTCTTCTAGCCATCCATAACAAACTCACCCAAAATGGATCACAACCTTTCTTGGAATAACCAAGACTTTGATAAAGTCTCTCTGCTCTATCGTTACCAACGATGGAATGAAGTCCAACTTTGTTATATTTCCAACGTTCTCGAACAATTTCTTCACATTTTTGTAATAAACCACGTCCAATGCCACGTCTTCTCACTTGAGGAAGAACAGCCAAGTTATAAACATAAGGAATTTTGCCTTTTTGAACTCTGGAAAAAGCTTGAAAGACTTGTGAACCTTGTGGAATCGTCGATAGCTGCACAACTCCAACCAAATTACCTGAAAGATATGATATTACTTTCAAAGCATACGAGTGAACGAATACTGACCCGTTGTCTCATCTTGTGCAACCAAAACTTCGTCTTCTTCAACACATTTTTCTGCTTCTTTTCTATTCAGTAACAACAATAAACCGAGAAAAGTTTCCACTATAAGCAAAAAATACCATAAGAAAGAGTGGAAAAAAAGTCATGTCACAAGATATACCAAAGAATAATGGTCGAAGTAACAACTTCCATCGAGGAACAGCATGAAAGCACTCATTACAAATATGAGTGAACTGAAATATTTCCTGAAATAAAGTTCAATAAGGTTGACGTCTTTTAAAACTAAACTCTCACGTGTCGCTGCAAAGGACGAATATGGTAAGTAAGCAGGGACAAGTTACTCTGTTGTTCTGAAACGGAAGCAAAGACTCCGTATGCACGTCGTTGCTTTTCACATATTCTTCTCTTCACTTGAAAACAATTATGTTTATTACCATAACGATAGGATAAATGATATAAACAAGACTCATCAACCAAAACATTCACACCAAAAGCACATGCCTTCATCATGAAAGTCATTTTGAGTTGGTCAAGTCCCCAGACAAGATATTTTGTATTCTAAAAATAAGAAAATATTGAAACCAACTCTATTCCAAATGTTGTTATTGAGAAACCGATACATCTTTCGTTCGGTATACTTGCAATTGTTGAGTATAGCTTCACGTCTTATCTATGGAAGGGATCCAGAGAGAACCCAAGCCAAGGACAGAGCCGCACAGTTAGCCAATGCCGTGAAAATAAAAAAAGTAAACTCGGCTTTGGAGTTTGGAGGAATCGGAGAGTGGGAAGGAATTTTCTATGAAGCCGCAGACCACAGACAGACTGAAAGAAAGGACTTGATATTTGACTTTCCAGATAGCTTCACCTTTTTGTCAGAAGCTGCAGATGCTTTGGTTGGAGACTCCCTTAGTCGATGCTTTTCTTCAGAGCCTCCTAAACCTTGGAACTTTTTAACAAGAAATTGTTCCCAAGTACCACTCTTATTGATACCTCTGTGGATAGCCAGTTTATGGATAAGATATTTGGTATTGTTGCCACTTCGACTGGCCATCTTGTGCTTTGGGATCTTCCTATTTCTAACACTGTTTATTCTGGTGGGATTTGTCATTCCAAGAGGAGACTGGAGAAGTAGCTTTGAACAACGTCTATTGCGGTTTTTAGCATCGGTATTCTTAGCTTCTTGGAGTGGAGTCGTCAGGTTTCATGGAAGGAGACCTGAAAGAAAGGCCAACCAAATCTATGTAGCGAACCATACGAGTCTCATTGATATTATTGTCTTGTACAAAGACTATACTTTTAGTATTATTGGTCAACGACATGGAGGTTTTGCCGGTATTTTACAAGATTTGTTGATGAGAGTTCAGAACCATATCTGGTTTGATAGAGAAGTGGGAAGAGACCGACATATCGTACAAGAACTGTTAAGAGAACATGTAAGGAACCCTAATAACGAACCCATGTTGGTATTTCCAGAAGGAACTTGTGTGAATAACGAATATTGTATCATGTTTAAAAAAGGAAGCTTTGAATTGGGTGCACAAGTGGTTCCTATTGCTATAAAATATAATAAGCGGTATGCCAATCCTTATTGGGATTCTAGTCAATGCGGATTTCTAAGACATGTGTGGGACTTGATGACTTCTTGGGCAGTCGTTGTGGATGTGTATTATTTAGAACCCATGAAAAGGGAGTGAGTATTTCAATAGGACAAGTTATAGCTCAACTTATTTGTGTATATAGGCCAAATGAAACTGCTTCAGAATTTGCCAAAAGAGTAAAACGTGCTATAGTTCATCGTATTGGTTTGATAGATGTCGAATGGGATGGTTTCTTGAAAAGACATCGAATATCGTCAAAATTTATTCAACAAAGACAAAAAGCTCATGCAATGGTAAATATATAAAGGATAAGATCATAATTGTTGGCCACTAACAAGTATAGGTTTTATTGCGTCGAATGCAAAGAAATTGTATCATATCGGATTCCTACCCATTGGAATGGAAAGAAACAGCTTTTGACTCCTCAGTGGATCTAAGTTCACTTTCTACAGCTTCTCATTTACCAAAAATGAGAAAGAGAAAGTCTGAAAAGACAAGAATCAAGTACAATGAAGAAGAGAACAAGACAAACTCAACTAGTGCAGAAAATAAGGAAACTTTTATGAAAGAATCATCATCCTTTACCAGCTCTCAAGAAAATGGGAAAGAACAACTAGATTTGGATGACCCGTTTGATGAGATAGAAGGGTAAGTTGAGAAACTGGAGCAAGTATTTTCTAATATCTTGTCATTTTAGAAGAGGATATAAGGTATGGGTGGATGGTGTATTCTTACTTGTGATAATGTTATGTATTGTATTTTGTACTATCTTGAGTTGTATTTTGTTCTTCAAATATACATCTTGGAGTGGTATAACTGATTGGAAATGGAATGTATTGTTCAAATAATACCTATTTCCGAGAGAATATGACTAGACTGTATCATTTTTCTGCAAATAAATTTGATCGTTTATCTATTATTCATATACAATATATCTCTTTTGTTTCTCAACCCAAATACACAACACACAACAAATACACAAGAGACACACAAGTTATTATTTACTCGTTAGCAATCTCTATCTTTTGGCTCTCAGATTTCTCCACCTGTTTCTTGGGCACAGTTACCGTTAGCATACCATCTTTGCAATTTGCTTTGATACCCTTCCGGTCGATATGTTTCGGAAGGCGAATAGACCTTTCAAACTTGCCATAAGAACGTTCCATCCTATGATACACCGTTCCTTCTCGTTCCTCATCAGATTTCCTCTCATCAGCTTTCTCACCAGAAACAGTTAGAATATCGCCTTTTAGATCTACGTTGATATTTTCCTTGGGAACACCGGGTACTTCGGCTTTTACCAAGAAACAGTCGTCTTTCTCGACGAGATCTACTCTAGGTGACCAAATTTGACCTTCACCAATACTCCTCGGAGTAACAGACCATATATCACGATAAAAAGGATCTGTTGCCCATGAAAACAAGTCGCCGAAACTGCTATCAAAGAAACGACCAGGTCGCACCAACTCACTCATGGTAGCTGACAATGCAAGTTATTCACTATTCGCCAAATTCGATATCTTATCCAATCACGCAGTTCATCATGCTTATTTAAAGAATGCATAGAAATTTCTTCGATACATCTATATGCTTCTAAAATGTGACCAAGGAATGTTCCATTTTAAATCTATCTCTACTAGAAAATTCGACAACACCACAGAAATATGGATGGAAGCAGAGATGGCCGAGCGGTCTAAGGCGCTGCGTTCAGGTCGCAGTCATCCCAGATGGCGTGGGTTCGAATCCCACTCTCTGCACTTTCTCTCTTTTTCTCATACAGAGGGCTAGGTTTATATCATTTTAGACGTTGTGACAGAAATGGGTTGTCTTCAATCAAATGGGATAACTTTTTATCAATACTCTTTCCAAAGAGAGTGTTGAGTGAATAGCTCTATGTATGGTTATTGGAGAACAGACATGTGAATGTTCTTTCCTATGGGTAAAACCCTTTCTGTAAGTGATTCCTAATAGGAGAAGAACAAGTCTATAAGAAAATCGTTCCAAGAGTGGTTCACTTATAAACACTTCCTTGATACAGCAAAATTTGGCGGGCAAAGTCATTTTTTCAAAAATGGGAATGAAGCAGCATCGTGCATTGCTCTTCTTTGGATAAGCGAGGATGGATACGGATTCAGAGTCTTCTGACTTTGCAACAACAGCCATAGGAAATAACAAAAGCGCTGTTTCTCAAAAACCAACAAACAAGAAAAAAGAACAATCTCCTAATAAAGGTGCATCGGAAAAGTTGTCTCTTTCTGATACCGAAGAAAAGGAGAATTTTCCTCTACTACTGGGTCAAGGAGTGACTGGTGAGCAAGAAAGTGATCAAGAATATTGTGAAGAACTCAATAGTAGACCAAGTCGCCGTTCAGCTGTTAAAGCACAAGGCAAAATGACTCAAGTACAAGCCTCTGTATCTGATATGAAGGAGTCATCTTCAAGAAGGAAGAGGGACTCTAAAGTACTTGAAGAACCTGATTGTGACAATGACGATGAAGACGAATCTTTTTCTACCAACGATACTGAAGATAGTGCTTTTGACGAAGATGACTCAGAAGATTCTTCATTAATAGATGATAAGCTGAAAAAAGGAAAAAAGAGACGTGACTCTACGAGTTGCTCCAAGAAAACCCCAAATCCTAGAGCGTCCAAAGCTAAAGGAAATCAGTCAACACAGAAGAAAAACGTGAAATCAACAGCAACAAGTACGAGAGCTGTGAAGAACGATACGAATTGCAAGTCAAAAATTTCCGTGAAGCCCATTCGCAGTGGCTTATCGTCGAATAACCAAACAGAGTTGGAATCGTCCCATAGTTCTCGTTTGTTACATGTAAGACCTATCAGAGCAGGATTATCCAAAAAGTCACCCATACCAAGGCTGCATTCTTCTTTCTTGAATCACTCTTAGTATACTTCGATTCTAAATACCGTCTTTATTGTAAATATGCAATTCAAAATGAACAGTTGTTAGAAACCATTTGCTTTAGAATAAACACGAGGAGCAAAACGTGACTTTAATAAGTTTCCAGCCATGATGCCTGCAAGAAAATCCCAGTCCATTCAAAACGCTTCTCAATGTTGATAAAAAGCATATTCAATGATGAGAATATAATCTTCTCAAAAATGGAGCACAAAAGTTTAATTTCTTATCCCTTGAAACAGGAGAAGAGGATTGGGTGGCTTCTGAATTAGTTGTTTCTAGTCGCTGTTGTTCTCCAATAGCAACTCTTGTCATCTTGCGATGGCAACATGGTTCAAATAAAGACTGCCAAATCACCTCAAAAAGATCCTCATCATCAGGTTTCGCTTTTTGACTCGACTGTATTGAATGTTCTGATGACTGTAAGCGATATTCTCTCGACAAATTTTGCTGCAACTCTCGTTCTTCCATTGCTTGGTAGCCTTCGATATCTTCCGATGCCCAATTTCTTAAAAGAGTACATGGTGAACTGGAGAACTCTGTTTTTATATATGATGAATGGCAATTACCAAAGTCATTTAACTGCTCCTGATTATCCACTGTCCAGTTCTGTCCTGTATAATTATCCAAAAGAAACGAGGAACTGGCTATTGTGGCATCGTCCAATATTTCCAAAGCGGTTCCAAGTTTTTCTTTCAGATCATCAGAAAGAGCATGTGCTGATCCTCTCAAAGGCGTCTCCAACGACAACAATGTATCTTGGTCCACAAGAAGCTGTTCACAAGAAACTTGTCGTATCATCCGAGCATTTTGTGCTATCGCAAGTTCTTCATTGACATTCAAGTTAGATAATGAGGAGTGTCTATACTCTAAGTTTGCTGCTACATCTTGATTGCAACCAGGACTTTCACTATGTATAGACGACTCAGTTGTGGTTGCTATGTGGTTTTCAGCCCAATCTTGTCGATTAGCATTTTCCATATGTTTCGAATGTATATTTTGAGCAAACTTATGTTCTACGCTAAAGTCTTTACTAGAGTGGCTAGAAAACTCACAGGAATCCCTTTTACGTTGTCCACAATATGTTTTCTGCCTATTTTGATCGTACTGGAAATCTGGATTTCTTGGAATTTTATTACAACCTCGTTTCCTATAAAGTTCTTTTCTTCTCCGTTGCCGACTTTGTCTTGCACTACCAGGGGAGATCTTATTTCCGATGTCAGGAATAAATGAAGTATGTCTCTTTGTCCTCATAAGGTTGGATTTATCTGAACAAACAAATATCACAAGTGTTGTACTCAAGGCAGAAGCGATACTGCAAGTAAGTCAGAGACTTGAGCAACGCTTTAATACAACAGAGTAAATGACCGTTGGTCAGTCGTCAACCAACCTGAAATAGAAACAACCTATTTGATCATGCAGACAACAAATTGCATTTTAAAGCTGTGACGACGAAGTGCAACTTACGTGGAAGAAAATCGCCTTTGGACCATCGATCGATTGTTCGACATTTCCCAAATTAGAAATTTCCATTTTACATCCACTGACTTTGGAAAACAACCCTGCGCATTTCTCACACAACTCCCATATTCTTTATACAAATCAAAAACTCGATAAGTGTCTATTCCTAATAACAAACACAAAAGTTACGCTACAGGTGATTGGAATCAACCATGGAATACTTCATGCTCGTACAAATAGTTATATCCAAAGATGACGTTATTCCAGAAAAGTAAAAGAACACTTTGATTATTCGGAACTTCTATGTAAGGCTGAAGATCTTCTCTTGGCTCTAAAAATGCTTCTTATTCAAAAGGCACAGTTGTCATTTCCAATCTAAACTTACCTTTTATCTCTTCTACTCCTTTCATTTGAACTATGTAGCTCTATCTCTTGTTCTTGTCTCAGTTGCTGTTCTCGTACTTGTCTTTGGACAGATTCCACTTGTTTTATCGTATGGGTTCTCTCCATTTCAAACTCCGTTTCCTTTTTTTGTATATAAGCCATCTAAATAACATATTAATCAAATGAAACAAATCAATATAACCCCAAGTACCTGTGAGTCCAACTGTTCTAATAACAACTGAGCATTCGTCTCCCATCGATAAAAGCTGTCGATCATTTCCTTCAACTGAGAGTCTGAAACATCTCTTCCCATTGTCCATTCTACTTGAAACAATTGTTGTTTCTGATCCAATCTCCCTCGCATCAACCTGTATTCGATGCAGTCCATAAGTAAATCTTCCAACTCTCTCACAGAAACCAGTCCCAAGGTTTCCATAAGATCGGAGTAATTCAGTTGCTTTTGTTTTGATGCAAGTTGTACAACTGTCAAACGTTTGAGTTTTCTTTTAGCTTCATCACTGATGACGTTCCAAAGCTTGCCATCTAAAGTCATAAAGTTAAGCACAGTTTATCTAATGATAGACATACTTTGACCATCTCTCCAAGTTCCATATGCAAATATTTCCAACAACTGAACCCAATCTTTCTGAGCACCATCCTGTTTTAACTAGAGAGACCATCAGTTCCTTGAGTGGGTCATATCTATTCACAACCCACCTGAAGAATAGTTGGTTCCAGCAAAACTTCACCAAATACGTGAACGTTTGGGTCTTCTAGCAACTGTTGTATAATTTGTTGAGCGCTTTCAATCCCTCCAACTCGCAAGTTTTCCAGGTAACCTTTTAAGCTGTCGTCTGCTATTCCCATTCTTCTTCCACAAATGCAAATAGCATACCGATCCATTTTGGCGATAACTTTTCAAAAGTGGAAGAAAACATAAACTCTTATGATACTTCATACTTTTATTCTTCATTTACAAAGTATCTTTCTCTCCTTGTTCTTATCAATAAAATTATATTTTGGCAGTCTACAACTCTATGACTTGCCCTTCCATTCTTCTTCTTATTCTCTCTCTCTCTCTCTCTCTCCTTCGGCGATATTGTTGGATATTCATTTGGGTGGACTTGGTGATTGTCGTTGGTGACGAACATATATCAACACTTGTATCCATTATGAAACCTTCCGTTCGTATTGTAGTGGTAGGAGACCCTAAAGTAGGAAAAAGTTCCCTAATCAAAACCCTCATTTCAGAGAGTTTTGAGGACGAAGTTCAGCCCGTGTTACCTACCGTAGTCATACCCCCTGAAGTTACACCCGAACGTGTACACGTTTCCATCGTAGATACTTCCTCATCACCTGAAGAAAGACACAAATTGGAAGAAGAAATTCGCAAAGCAGACGTTTTGGTTCTCGTTTACGACGTCAGCAAAAGAGAAACACTCGATAGAGCAAGTTCTTATTGGTTACCGACGTTGAGAAGACTCGGTGTGACCGTTCCAGTAGTACTTGTCGGAAATAAAATAGATGTAAGAGGAATTGGAGCAGATCACTCCTTGGAACACCTCATCAAACCTATTATGGACGAGTTTCGGGAAGTCGATGTGTGCATCGAGTGTTCAGCGAAACAAGTTTTCAACATCGCTGAACTCTTTTATTATGCCCAAAAAGCAGTTATACATCCAACTGCTCCACTGTATGACGTTAATGAGCATACTCTCAAACCAAAAGCGGTGTCTGCGTTGAAAAGAATATTCCGACTCTGTGATAAAGACAAGGATGGAGTGTTGAATGATGAAGAACTCAACCAATTCCAATATGAATGTTTTGGAGTTGAACTGAAACCAAAAGAACGCGAAGGTGTCAAAAATGTCGTTCGAGATAACACAACAGATGGTTTGGATGCCAATAGTTGCGTCACTTTGAATGGTTTTCTATATTTGCACAAATTGTTTATTCAAAAAGGAAGATTGGAAACCACTTGGGCTGTATTGAGAAAATTTGGCTATGATGATGACCTTTTATTGAGACCTGACTATGTGAAGTTGGATATGAAAAAGGCAGATGATCAATGTGTAGAGTTATCGGAACGAGCAAGTTGCTTTTTACTAGATTTGTTTGATAGAACTGATAAAGATAAGGATGGCAAGTTGTCAGAAGCAGAATGTAAGGAACTGTTTTCCACTATTCCTTATGTGGTTTGGGATGAAGAGAAATATGGAGTTCGCTTAGTAGAACAAGGAGACTCTAAGATAACAAGAGATGGCTTTCTGGATAGATGGACCTTGTACTTATTGGATGACCCGGAAACGGCTCTATATTCCTTAGTATATCTTGGCTATGAAACTGAAGTGAATAGTGCGTACGTTATTTCTAGGAGAAGGAGAAGAGATCGACGATTGAAGAGTGTGAGTCGTCATGTGTTTCAAGTATTTGTCATGGGAAGTCCTGGTTGTGGCAAATCGAGTATGTTACGTTCTTTGGTTGGTTTGCCATTTGTCGAAGATCATCAACCTACTGTAAGAAATATGGCTGCTTTACGTCGAATCCTTCTTCCAGAAGAAGAAGGTGGTGGTTATCGTTCCTTGGCATTGTATGAAATTCCTGAGCATGAGATTACGAGCAAACTATTGAGACTTGTGTCTCCTGATGGAAAGAAAGGAGAAACCAACAAAACAGAAGCATCCTTAAACTTGGAATCCTGTGACGTTGCTTGTTTGTTATATGATATTCACGATCCTAAATCCTTTGCCTATGCGGCACGTTTATATCAAAATTTGGCTGCTTTACGTCCGTTGCTTCCAGTAGTTTTTGTGGCAACGAAAGCAGATTTAACTGCCGTTTCTCCTCATTATGAAGTATCACCTGCAGACTTTTGTGACCATTTGGGTTTACCGCATCCCGTCAAGGTATCTTTTCGATTACAGGAAGATGCAGATATCTTTCAAATGTTGGTAGGTGTGGGCTTGCATCCACAGTTAGCTTGTCCTGGTTATTATGAACATTCGGCTGTCGTACATTATGCATTGGTTGTTTCTAAGATATTGGCGGCGAGTGCTGCAATCGGTGCAACGGTTTATGTTTCCAAGAAAATTTATCAATGGATACATTCTCGTGAATAGTCATTTGTCTGGATGTGTTGGATAAAGATGGCAAATGTTTTTTTTTGCATTTCTCACCATTCAATTTTCTTCTGATGTGCACAAAATCACTTTTATTTTCAAAACGAAACAATCATCCATGTGCTTGCGAATGAATACTAGGCAGCATAGAATGATGACTTTGTTCTTCACTGCTACTTTTCGATGTTTCCGTGTCATTCGGATACTTATTACTCATAGCCATCCCAGATGATGTCGTTCTTGAATAGTGCTTGCCACGTCGACGTCTTCTTTGACTCCTACGTTCTTCTTGAGGTGTGTCTGGATAAGCTAAAATTCCAGCAATGGTTGGAAACTGACGGGAGTCTCTTCGTTCATATAGGATGGTTTCATTCTTCCAAAACTTCAGTACAGGAAAACGAGTTCTTTGACTTCTTCTAACACCTGAACCAATTTGTCTCAAACCATCATCTTCACGGGAAGTTGGCAAAAAACGAAGTTCGCGAGGCTGCCCACGTCTATTTTCAGTTTTCCTTGTTTCCAAGCTTTGTTTATTTTTGCTCGGTGAATTGATTCCTTTGGGCCTCTTTGAAGGATGTGAACTTGTACCTTTCGAATCACAGTCTACTGTCAGTCCTGCTACATGTTGTATTTTGTAAGCATGTTTGGGATGATCGTGAATATCTTGTTGTAAATATATTTCATCTTCATCATTGGCAACCATTTCATAGGAAAAACTCAAATCATCATTTTCAGTAGTCTGTGGAACATCAAAGTCCACTTGTACTGTACAAGGAGTTGTTGTTGATGTATAGCCATCGACTTGTTTTACCCATGGATAGTCCATTTCGTCGCTTTGAACCGTGTTCTGTATACCAGTACTATGAAGAACGGGAGGAGTACTCGTTGAATGGTTGCTTCTCGTATCACTGGATTGTTCCTGTTCATTATCATCAACCTGAGATTCCGGTTTCCAAAAATCTTCCGATGTGATAGTATCCATAGGGTCTCGACTAGCTATAAGACTTAGAATTCTATGACGACGAGGACCTATTCTTTCTATGGTAGCTTGAATGGCTTCTTCCGTGGTTAGGTGAATGGTTTCTCTGGCAACCTTGTTTGTTCGCAACGAACTCTTTCTTTTAGAACTAGGTAGAAGTATTCTTCTTTGTTTTGGCAAGCCATACTTTTGCGCATATTCTAAAGCTTCTGCGAGTGGCAATATATTGGGTTGTTGGGAGTCATATGGCTTTTTCTCTTCTTCCAAGGAATGGATATCGTTAGAATGGACGTTTTCCTTTGTCGGAGACGGTGAAAAGAGTTTTTTCAAATAGGGAGTCTTGATAGTTTCCAAACTTGGGTCCATCAACAAGTTAACTGCAAGTAAAAGACAAACCCAAACCGGGCAAACTTCTCAACGGTTCTCTCATTCAAAAAAAAAAGCAACCCAATTTGCCCGCCAAAATGGACCCGGGGAAGGGTAATTAAAAAATTCCTATTTGAATGATTGGCGAGAGAGAGTCTTCTTCCATGACCCTAAAAAAGTATGACGAATACAAGCCAAATGTGGATCACCATTATTTTCCCAACGGAATCCTGGAGCAGGAAGAATATATACATCACCTACACAAAGTGGTTTTTGTGCATGGTAAATGTGATCTTCTGTATACCCGTAATACCGAATATACTCCAATATCACATCGGTCCATGCTCCTGGTCCAGCAAAATCCAACACATCATATTCAAATAAATCATGTTCAGTCATATTCTTCACTTTCTCTACACATCCTTGAAGTAGCTTGGCAATCAAAGGATGTAACGGTGCTGAAGCAACTGTCCAAGAGGCTAATTGCACGTCTCTTGCTAGAGGCTTGGGTAAGGTTGGATGTGATTGCCAAACAATATCATCTCTCAAGCTTGCTTCATAACCTACAATAAGAGATACGTTTCTATACTCATTGGACCAGTCATAAGCTGGCTTCAAACACAAAGTATCTATATCCGAATACACTCCACCAAATTGTTGCAACAATAGAAACCTCAACAAGTCAACCTTTAAGATAACACGTGGTAGTCTAGAAAAGAGATGGCTCAACGATGGATACAACTGCTCTATCAATTCATCCAAGTCCTCCTTTTCCCACAACAAGTGTGTTGCGTAGGGATTCCAATGTCGAAAACTTTCGATAGAGCTGGCAACTTGTGGAGGCACTGGCTTTTCCGAGTCATACCAAATTTGGTGAATAATACTAGGAATATGGTTGTTAAACCCTACTTTTCTTTTCTCATAAAAAGCCTGAGTGGCTTCAATCGCTTGGTGAAGAATCTTGCTTTTTCTAGGAGAAGAAGTATTCCGTTGCGAAAATAAACGTATCAAATGATTATTACAACTGATAGTCCGTCCATATATATCTGCTATTAAAAGAGTTACAATTACTAGCACTAACAAGTTGAACATTTTGAATATTTTAACTCTCCTTAAAGGCCAACCACATACCATCCTCTTCTCTTCTGATGTATCCAAAAATGAACAATTCCCACAACTCTCAATAGGATTATTGGAGAATAGTCATAGGATAACGTTCTACTAACAGTGCAACATTGCAATCTCTATTTAGTCTTTCCAAAACTGGGTTATAAGGATAATAATCATAACAAGAGCGAATAAATCGACGAACTTGTGGTACAATCAACAAATAATGTCTTTCCAACATATTACAAATTGTATGACGTTGTTCTATAAAGCTTATTTCATTCCAACCTTCCACGAGACATTTTAAGCCTGATTTCAACTGCAAGTATTCCATTTGTAAACAAAGTACATTTCTACTATCTTTCTGTAACTGTGTGACTTGTTCCATAGCTGCTTTAGCCAATCCAATATAAATGGCACTGAGACAGGCAAAGTGCCATGAATGACTCAATAACATAGCCAACGATATTTCACCCTTATGACTTGTAATAAGATGACTATCTTTGACTTGATCAAACACAACAAAAGACATTCCACTTGCTTTAAGTCCATTTTGATGATTCACCCACTTTTGTATTTTCATAGCTGAGGACTTGGGTACCAAAACCATTCCCAATGGACTTTTATCATGATGACTACTTTCAATTAATGGAATAAAAGTAACAAAGAAATCCATCAAAGGACTGGCTACTACTTGTTCAGCTACTCCTTGAATGATCCAAGACTTTGTTTTCTGATTAGCAAAGGAAGAAGCCATCAAAGGATTGCCTTTGGATATATGGGGAGGCAAAATAGTGTAACAAAAACTTTGTCGAAGAGCAACTTCCCAAAACATATCTTCTACAGTTGATGAAGAATACGACAATAACCAATCTCTTAAAAAGCCAATCGTTGCAAAATGATGAGCAAACCCATAAGCAGTGGAAATACAACCGCTACTCAATTCTATCAACACTTCTAAACAGTCTGAAATAGAAATATCTTCACCACCATATTTACTTGGAATATTAGCTGCAGGAATGGCTTCCAATTGGCAACGAACATAGGACTCTCTCGCAAAGGTCCCATTTTGGTCAAAAGTCGATGCCAACTGAGACAATACATTCTTGATTCCCATGGAAGCTTGAATAGTTCGCAGATTGTGATATTTGCGATCCATCAAACGTTGAAAAGTATTCCAAGATTGTACATTCCAACCTTTCATTCTTTCAACCAAGTCAGTTTCTCTATTATACTTCTTATTATTATTGTTATCCAAATGTCCTTGTTCTACGATGATATGATCACTTTCTTCTTTCATCAGTTGGTCAACTCTTTTCCGTGCTCGATAAAGAGCACTTTGAATGCATTCATCTTCCTTTGATAAAACTCCAAGTCGAGCTAATGCTTCTTTGGCTGCTTTCTGTTGCGCTTCTTTTTTGGATTCTCCTTTTCCTTGTCCTACTATGACTTGATCCACTACGGCATGATAAATAAACTCTCTTTGATGAGAAGGTCCTTTGCATGATTTTTCTACATATTCCACTTGTTTGTTTTGGGAATTGACATATTCTTGTAACAACGATTTGTAGTTCCTAGGAGGGTCATTTAACATATCCAACATAGTATTTCCTAATTGAATATAAACAAAGTGGCGAACAGCTTCAAAACCTCCATCCAAATAAATGGCTCCAACAACTGCTTCCAAAGCACCAGCAAGAACGGAAGTGGTATTCTTCAACTTTTCCAATCCTTTCTTTACCACTAAATATTCAACCAACTGAAGCTTTTCAAAATACTGTTCACAAGCTTTTCGACTCACCAAACAAGAACGCATCTCAGATAAGCCACCTTCATCCAAATGTGGAAACCAAGTAAAAAGAAATTCTGCCACTACAAAGTTGAAAATACTATCACCTAAAAACTCCAAACGTTCGTTATTTTGTAAGTCGGTTTTCGTGGACTCCGTTATCTTATCCCAAGTCTCCATATCGTAATGTACTGAGGCATGAACAAACGCTAATCTTAGCCAATGTTTGTGTTGAAAAGAATATCCAATTTGTTTCTCAATACGTTGAATAACTGTGTCGTTTAACACAGCAACTGGATGGTGCACTGTTGGCTGATATTGAAATCTATGAGGAGGACAAAGATGTGACTTTCTATGTGGTAATGAAAAGGTGAAACTCGACCAGCTGTATCTTGAAAGTAAACTCCTTCCAAAGAAACACCATAACCTGGTTGGACAACGAGAAAGCAAAGACATATTCGAATAGGCAAACATATAAATCTTTCTTGTGGTGAACCAATTGGATCTTATGAAAGTAGTGGCGTTGATCAGCGGTGGAAAGGATAGTTTTTATAGTTTATGCAAATGTATTGCTTATGGTCATGAAGTTGTAGCACTTGCAAACCTATTTCCTGAAGACTCTACAGTACAAGATGCGGACTCTTACATGTATCAAACTGTGGGCCACGAAATCGTACAAGCATATGCCAGAGCACTGTTATTACCTGTTTTTCGGAGACCTACCAAAGGGAAAGCAGTGCTTACTACTTTGGGATATTCTCGCCAACCATATGATGAAGTAGAAGATTTGTATCAACTGCTGTTACAAGTAAAACAAGAAATGCCTCAAGTGGAAGCTGTTTGTACGGGAGCTATCTTGTCCGATTACCAACGCAACCGTGTAGAACATGTGTGTTGTAGATTGCAACTAACTTCCATTGCATATCTTTGGAAAAGGAATCAAAAACAACTTCTGCAAGAAATGTTACAAGCTGGAATAGATGCAATAGTTGTAAAGGTTGCGACAATGGGATTGTATCCACGGAAACACTTGGGAAAGCATTTGATCGAATTGGCTCCTTTGTTGATAGAATTGGAGAGCAACTACGGATCTCATGTTTGTGGAGAAGGAGGTGAATTTGAAAGTTTGGTATTGGACTGTCCACTTTTCTATTATCGATTGGTTGTCGATGAAGCTGAAACAATTGTAGTTTCTGATGATCGCTTTGCACCTATAGGCTATTTGCGAATCAAAAAATATCATTTGGAAGAAAAGTCATTACATGTCAACCGTATGCATTGGATAAAGACTCTGGTGCCTATCAAGTCTATGCCAGCTCAGACGAAACAAAGAGAAACAGGCAGAAAGAAAGTTTCACAAAATGATATTTCTTTAATGTACTTGTGCAAGTCTCGTTGGTGCACATCCAAAACATCAAATATTTCATACTTTTTGTGTTGTAGTAGAGCTGCTTCTACAACTGAGGATAAGAAGAATGTCTCGGAAGAAATGAAGAATATTTTGGATGACTTGGAACAATCTTTGAAGGAATGCAGTTTGACTCGAAAGGATATATTCTATTGTCAGTTATACTTGAGTGACATGAGCGATTTCGTTTCAGTTAACAAAGTTTATGCTTCTTATTTTGGAACTGAAGAGCCTCCCGCTAGAGCATGCGTAGAAGTTTCTTTATGTTATCATCAACTCGTTGTACTAGAAGCATTTGCTAGGAAGGGTCCTCGTAAGGTTCTTCATGTTCAAAGCATCTCTGAATGGGCTCCTCCTTGTATTGGACCCTACTCTCAAGCTCATTGTTTCCAACATGTCGTATATATTTCGGGAATTCTTGCATTACATCCTCCTACTGTAACTATTGTACCAGGATTGAATATAGAACAGGAAACTATGCTCTGTATAGAAAATGTGAACCACACTATGGAAGCTTTGCCATGTGGATGGGAAGATATTTTGTTTATCTATTGTTACATCACTCAACCACAAGATGCACAAAGGGTAGCCACATTATTGTATAATACTTATGGAAAGCAATTTGGTTTGTGCATCGTACCTGTACGTAACTTACCTCGAAATGGTTGTGTCGAATTGCAACTCATTTGTGTATCATCCAACGACTCTACTGGAAATTCATCACAATATGATGCCCGTCCGATATGTAGTAAACAAGTTGTCCAAGGAGAATTTCCGATGCTCGTTGCAGATGATAACAAGAATATATGTAGTCTCTCGGAAGATAACTTTCAAGTGAAGTGGCAAATGTGTATCAGTGGTTCTATTATTGTATTGCATGCAACATGGAAACAAGTTCCTTTACTTGACTCGTTCAAGAAACAAATCAAAGCAATATTTCATCAATGGATAAGCTTATGCGAAAAGCGATTGGACCGTGTTGGAGCTCATGTCGCGTGGAATCCGATTGTTTGTAAGTCGTGGTTACCAAAAGATCTTTTTTATGAAAACAACAATTATTCTTTGCAAGAGATAACTGAAGAAATATTAGTCAAGGTACTATCCAACGAGCATTCGATGAACAGGACACCAGTATTTATTATACCCTTGGAAGAAGACGAACAAGTTAGAACATGCCATTTGCAGTTAATATTACAATTGGATGAAAAAGTTAACACATCTAGGTTGTGAATTTCTTAGCAACTGCCATGAGAATACGGTTATTGGCAGTGACTCGAAAGTAACCATACTGCTTCTATCTGAGAATATCAATGAACTACTTGCAGGTTATCTTGTACTTCTTCTATATTCTTCAACAGTTCGGTTATTTCGGAATAAACGAGTCCAATTTTTTTATCTCTTCTAGCAAGTATTTGTTGTAGTTGTTCAATATGTTTCTCCTTTTGAGACATACGTCTCTGAAGTTGTCGTTCGCGTTGTCTTTGTCGGCTCTCCAGTTTTCCTATTTCATCTTCCATGGATCCACAAAGTTTTATTGATGGATGGCGATGTTCCAAGTGTCTCTTTTCTGTCACTGCAACCTTGAGAGCGAGTTCCGTTCTACTTAATTTTGCTTGATAATCTTCAATTTCATCACTGATAGTTGCTTGTCTGGTTTGAATTTCATCAAGATTCTGCCCCGCTTTTTTTTGTTCTTCCAAGATTCTCATTTCCAAATTGTGAATGCGGTCAGCATTTCTATTAGGGTTTGAATCAGCATCACAAAGCAATCTCTCCAGACAATAGAATAACAAATCTACATAATTTCGACTAGGCGTTTCTGAAATGAAAACAAGGAACTGCTGAACATCTCCTTTGTATGCCGCTTGAAGACAGTGTTCTAATCTCTGAATATGATTCGAATGTACATCGAAGAAGGATCGAAAAGAAAATTTACCATGATATGGTGGAGAAGGTATATTATTGGTAAAAGAGTCTGGTAAAAGAACAGAAGATGGAGCTGAGCCTTCTTCTTCTACAAATGAGCTATGTTCTTGTCTTGACAATGCTGCTGACTGAAGTACAGTAACACTGCTATTGTCTTTCTGTTCTTTCTTTTCTGCAAATACTTGTGTGTCTTTTTGTTCATATGGAATCCTAACTTTTTCGTCATGATTAGGAGTGGATGTATGGTTTGTTAAGAGAGCGGTCCATTTCCCCTCATCTCCTTGCGTACTTGCGATGTTCAAAGTATCTGCGTTCCAAGTATCATTAGATAAACGAAGAAATGACTCCTTGTTACTCATTTCCCTATAATTTTCCAATATTTCTCGCAAGGCTGCAATCTCGTGTTGAATGCTATTTTGGTTTGCCATTTCAACGCCTCTGCTTTCAACACATTCTTGATTGACCGAAGGAGTGTTATGAGTTACTCTAATGTATTCTGGCTTTTTGCCATTTTGTGCCCGATCCGATTTTCGCATCGGCGATGAGAATGACTCCGTTTGGCCTTCAGACTGAGAGTTCTTTTTAAGCCCAAGTTGCCGCTGCTGCTGTTGTCGTTGTCGTTGATATTCCAAAAATTTTTGTTTCAGCCTGGCAGAGATGAATGGTACAGATATTTCATTTTGTTCTATTTGAGCTGACGAAGACTCTGGTTGCTGTACTACGTCCTTGGTAAGAGGTTTTGCCAGCCCTTGTGAGCTTTCCTGGTCTTCAGAATGTTCACTGCGTTCAGACAACAGCTTGGCTGGTGCTGAATCCAAAGGTGACACAACTTTCAAACCTTGAGGAACTTCCGGTTCGATAATATCTATGACTTGCTCAGATTGCTGCTTTTCTTCGGGTTGACTCAAATCAAGAACTGGAATGAACGACTGTGTAGAATTCTTACTCGCCTGACGACCTTGTGATACGAGCTGTATGGGTGGACCTGGAGGTAGTCCATTCGATAATTTACCGCAAAAAACGAGAGAGACAACTTACTGTTTTCGTTGGCTTTTTCTGTTGCTTGCGATACCTCTTTATCGGCCATTTTTGGTTTAGTGGACTGTTCATGCATAGTTCCTCTTGTAGAACTAAGACAGTTGTTCAAATGTTGCGTCTCTTCTTCATATCCATACATTAGATAGTATTTGATTTGCCAACAGTGGCAACTTACCAGCCTTTTGGTAAATCTGTGGAATTGAAGCAGCCGTTTCTGGTGTAACACGCGATTCTGTTCTGATATCAGTTAAAGTTCACTCTCCCCAAATTCTTTCAACTTACGGTGTCTTATTAAATTATTTTCTTTAGATGGCTCCAACTTTTGTTGCTTGAAAGTTGTATTATTTTCAAGTTTACTTTTGTTTTTCTTGGCAAGGGAAGAAGAGAAAGTATCGTTGGCAGTTTGTTCCACAGCTTTCAAATAAGATTCCATTCGTTCGTGAAAAGCATTGGTTGGCATATTTGCTTTTGTTTAACAAAAAATATATTCCCAAGACTAATTTACGCAACCTAACACGTAAGAAGAAGAGCCAACCAAGAAAAAATGTGAAATTGGCGCCAAAGACACGTTGAATGAACTTTGGGTACCGAAGCGGCATCTTCGGATTGCTTTTTGTGGATGTAGTCTGTTGTGTTGTTTTCTCATTCTTATGGAAATAGCACATTATCCATACTTGACGTATATTTTGTTTTTGATAAACTATCGAAGAGATATCACAAAACAGGAAAAGCGAGTCAGTTACTGAGCTAAATAGATACGAAACCATCCGTATCTTCTTCTTGAAGGATATTTCTCTAGTGAATAGTTATCTACTCTTTTGCTCACAAGGATTATTCAATGAATATTTTCATAGGTTCTATTTACGAAAGACGTTCTTTTTGAACCACTTCACGTAAATACTCAACAACCTATTTTCGAAATTGTATCTTTTCTACTTGAATAGACTATTTGTCGTGCACAATGTGTTTTATGGAATTTGTCTTGATTGTGGTTGATTTCTCTATTGTTCTGCTACAATCCATTTCATTCAACTAGTCCTTTTCATGCTTTGATACAGTTTGAACATCATTCCACATACAACTTCGAAGTTTGGAGCGTAAAATTTCTTTCTCGTTCATTCTCATAGGTTTAGACATCTATATCAACATACAGTAGTAACAGGGCCAAGTCATTTCCTCTTGGGACGATTGATTGGCCAATGGCTTCTTTTTTGGATAGTGCCAAGTTGTTTGTTCCATCGCAGTATTCTCAAAGTAGAGTTGTAGGTCTTTCCAAGCAAAAGAAACTAGAAAATATATTGTATTCCAAGTCAAGAATAAGAAATCTCGTTATCGTATCTTGTTCCCATCACAATCGAGGAGTTGAACGAGAAACTCTGATCAAGCCTTGTTATCCCAAGAAAGGTCGTCTTGGTTTTGTTTCTCTATCGTTACGTTTATTATGTCTTATACGCCTTTCATGGGCCAGTTACCGGAGATCTCTCTCTTTATTGCTACCTTATCGCTATAGTTCTTCAGGTCTTGCTTTGTTGTTATCTACCACTTTGAGACGTGGTGTATTTGCAACTTCACCGTTTCTTTCAAGTCTTGTAGAAGCTATGACTATGGTGTTTATGTCTGAACTTGGAGATAAGAGTATGTTTGCTACAGCTTTGTTAGCTACAAGATATCGTCCTTGGTTGGTATTCATAGGTGCTATGGTAGCTCTCACCATGATGACTGGAATTGCTTGTTTTCTAGGCAATGTAAGTAATTATTTCATTATTCTAGTCCTGGCCGAGTACTTATTCATGCTATCGATGATCATTTCTCTAGTTGATGCATCTATTACCTCCTATTTATACTCATTATGGTTCCATTATTCTTTTTCTTTACTTTGGTATCCAAATGATAAAAAATTCGTATACAAAGAATCAACGAGAATCGACAGAGTTGGGAGATGCAGAAAAGTTGGTGGGTAGTTTTAAAGCAGAGAACAGTTCCTTTTGGTCGATACTAGGAAAGATATTTTTACTTATCTTTACTGCAGAATGGTGTGATCGTTCCATGTTAGCAACGATGGCATTGGCATCTTCTCATTCGCCTTTAGCTATCATAAGTGGTGCAACTATTGCCAATGTCATATGTAGTGGTATTGCCGTATTAGGAGCTGCACTTGTATCTTCGAAGATATCGGAACAAAAAGTTTCTTTTGTAGGTGGTTTGTTATTTCTCTTTTTCGGTATCAAGTCGTGGGTGGATGGACCTGAAGAAGAATAAAAAAATTTGTATTGACAATCCTGATTTTGTTTGAGGAAAAGCTTTTCTATGGCTGGTCGTGGGACTCATCTTACCAAACCTGCATGGTTAGTGGAAAAAGAAACTGTGCCACTCAATACGAACAACTCGAACACTTCAGTGAATAGTTTATGGAAAACTGCACAAACTGCAGATGGAAGACAATATTGGTATAATGTTCAAACGAGAGAGTCGAGATGGGAACCTCCCCCTGAGTGGACAGACCAAGAAAAGAAGAGCACTTTACATACAGAACAAGTTTGGTATGAACTAGAAACGGCTGATGGTAGAAAATATTATTTTAACCAATTGAATAACGAAACACGTTGGGAACCTCCTCCCGGAGCTTCCATCGTGAAAGGTCAAGAAGATAAGAGAGCCAAAACACCGGTTTCGGCAACTTCGGTTGGCTCTGTCAGTTCTTCTGAACCCAAGAATAATGAAAATATGTCAAGAACTTGGAAAGAATACAAAACAAAGGATGGTAGAACTTATTTTTTTAATCCAGCAACAGGAGAATCTCGTTGGGAAAAGCCTGCTACAAGTGGTGGTATGGAGGACTGGATAGAATATAGAACTTCTGATGGAAGACCATATTATTACAACAAACGTACAAAGGTTACTTCATGGACTCTACCAAAGGTGCAACAAGATGAAAGCAGGGATAGGAAAGAAACTCAAAGAAAGATGATGGTAAGAAGAGACTTGGGTGGAAAGCAAGACATTGTGCATCGTCCAAGACATCGAGATGGAAAAGTCATGACAGATAGAGAAGCAGAATTATATTTCTTAAAGGAAGCAACGAAGAAGAGAAAGCGAGGCAAATCCAATAGTGAAGTGGTTGGAGGAGATAATACTGGCCACAGCCATCAAAAAAGTGTATCAGATGAGATAGATAACAAGCAAGCTGAAGAGACTTTCATGGAAATGTTGCAAGAATATGGAATAGATGAAAACTCGAGATGGCTGGATGCGATATATTTTTGTTGTTCAGACCAAAGATACTTTGTGTTTCATTCTTATGGACAACGACATTCCTGTTTTGTAAAGTACAAAGCTAAGCGTGCGGCTCAGAAGAAATTGGAGCGAAGCAAAAAAATCTTTCAAGCGAGAAGTGAATTTGAACAAATGCTTCGAGAGAAGATACAACCCAATAAGATTCCAGAAGGAGCTCGAGTTGTTGAGGATTGTGATGAAAGTATTATCACAAGTATAAAGGAAGATCGTAGATATGCCGCCTTAGAAGATGAGAAAGAACGAAAGGATTTGATAGGAGCTTATTTTAGTATAATAGAACGCCAAATAAGAGAAGTACGTAGACAGGAACGCAAGGAAAGAATGTCAAAAGTTCGAAATATTTTGTCGGAATGGGCAGAAAAGGATAGACCTATTTCAGGTTGGTTTTATGGGTTGTTCTTTTGAAATAGAAGACTAAGAATGATGTTTAGAGCCATTAGAAGAAGGAGAAGCAGCTCCAGCAAGAAAGATGATTGATGAACATTCCACATTTCGAGAAGTTTCTGAGTTGCTTGCAGATAATGTTGATTGGAATGCATTGGATAAAGTAGATCGAATGGTTGCTTTTGAAGAGTGGCAAAGAGAAGCAGAGAAATTAGCAGCTGAAAGGAGAGCGAGAGAGAGAGAAGAAAAGAAGCTCAAGGAAAGACAACAACGTGCAATATTTCGGAAACATTTAGAAGAAATGTTAGAAAGAGGAGAACTTATATTATCTACCCAATGGAAAGAAATAGAAAGTATACTTTTGCCCCAACCATGGTTTCAAGAACTGATCCAAACTGATGAAAGTAACTCCTCACCGTTGGTAATCGGAGGCCAAAATGCTGTCGATATTTTTGAAGATTTTATGTTTACTGTCGAAGAGAAAGTTTTCAAAGATAAGAAGGCATTCAAAAGAGCGCTGCAAGAGCTGAATTTTGAAATAGACGAGAATACAAATGTGGAAATGTTGTATGCTTGTCCTAATGCTATGAATGTTTTGGAGTCCAACGGAATTACCCAACAACTACATGTAAAACTTTTATTGGAAGAATATCGAAGAAAATCACAAGAAAAGAAACAAAAAGAAAAGAAGAAAAATCAACTCAAGGAAAACTTTTATGAATATTTACGTAAAGAAGGAACATCAACAGGAACTTCTTCATGGGACTGGAATGAATTACTCAACACAAAGTTATTAAAGAATAGTGTGTTTCAAGAACTAAAGAACCTTGTGGGTGAACCTAGTGTCCGAGATATGTTTGAAGACTTTGTTCGTCAACAAACAGCCGAAAAGAGAAAGAGGGATGATCAGAATCATACAAACGAACCAATTCCCAAAAAACCAAGTCTCCGTGAATCCGGCTCTACTTTTGACAGCGAACGAGAAAAATTGGAGGCGTTGGAACGTCGGAGACAAGAAATACTAGCAAAGTTGCAAGCTGTCAATGAAACTAAAAATGAGTAGCTAAATCTCGGATAAAAATTTTTTTTGTTTGAAACGTTCTTGTAGTGAATTTATACAAAAGATTGAAGAATATGACTTCTTCACAGGAGAGGTGGATTCATAAGACGAATACAGAGAGCTTGAACAACGACAGCCTTGTTGTGGATGTTGAAGTGAATGAAACAAGGCAAAGTTCCAAATTACTGTTAGGAGCAGCTTTACTTTATTCAGGAACAGTCATAGGTGCCGGAATGTTAGCCCTTCCGTTGGAAACTATACAAGCTGGATTCGCTCCTTCTATAGTAGCTCTCATCGTTTGTTGGTGTTTTACAGTAATAAGTAGTCTCTTGGTTTTGGAAGCTACCTTCACAGCAGCAGCTGCCAAAAATAGTTATTGTGTGAGTTTCCTTTCTATCGCTTCTTTGAGTCTAGGTTTCATAGGCCGCATACTGACTTGTGGCTTATACCTTTTCATTCTTTGGGCTTTGTTAGTTTCCTATATTGCTGGAGGTGGAGATATCTTAGTGTTCATATGGTCTTCTGTCGTTCATGCTGGCTTTCAACATTGGGCAGCCTCCTTGATCTTTATGATATCTTTTGGTCTAGTTGTATTCTTAGGTTCGAGTTGGTGTGATTATCTGAACCGGTTTTTGATGGGAGCTATTGTCTTATCCTTTTCTATTCTGGTAGTATGTGGACTACCAAAGGTGCAATATGCTTTTTTGGTAAGGAGCCAACCTTTTGTATTCTTGTTGACACTCAACTTGGAGAAAGGGACATCAGGATTGGTTGGCTATTTGGCCAGGAGCTATTGCTGTCGGTATTATTGCTTTTATGGCACAGAATGTGGTTCCTGTCCTTGTTTCTTATGTGCAAGATGTTATATTAGTTCGTAGAGCCATTCTACTTGGTAGCATACTACCCCTTGTGATGTATATCGTTTGGGAATGGATTGTGTTGGGTATTGTGTCTTTTGAAAGTGGAACGTCCAAGTCCACAGACTTTGTTACAAAAGCACTTAGTATAGCTTCTGGATACCCTGGTTTGGTGAATATAGTGGCAACCATCTTCTCCTTATTCTCCATAGCTTCCAGTTTTCTAGGAGTTGCTCTTTCTTGCATCGAGCTTTATCTAGATTTTATAGACGCATTGCAAGCAAGAGGCATATTCACGGGAATGTCACCAATATGGCGGAGAACCATTTCCGTGATAGGAAGCTCACTTGCACCGTTTTTATGCGCGATTTTTCTTCAAAATGCATTCGTCGTAGCAATGGAAAATTCTGGTTTGCTTGGAGGCTTGAGTATTTATGGAGTGATTCCAGCAGTGGTGGTTTTGATACAACGTGCACACGAAAGATATCCACCTATGCCTGGTAGACTACCTGGTGGTATAATATCATTGAGTCTGTTTCTGCTCTTTTGCATCGCCATTATCCTGTTACAGCTGGCGAAACTTTTAGGTCTAATTAAATAATAAATGGACTCAAAAATACACCATAAAATTTCTGGACTTTGGTATCCCTTTGAAGACGCATTAAAAAGGAGAACAAATCAAGTACTACAAAACAAAGAAAACATCAATTTTTGTTAAAATTGTCATACTTTTATAGCCTGCCAAGATACATGCTTTAAAAACCTCTCAATCTATTGCCTAACAATTTAATTTATTCAAAAAAACTCTTAGAAAATGAAAGAAATATTAATACTTCGGAACTACATTCTAAATTTCGAATAAAAAGTTAATGCAAAAGTTATAATGCTTGTGATACGTCGCTTTTAGATAAAATTTAAGGTTTGATGACGACTGTTTGGGAAAAACTCAACGTTTAAAACTACATTACCGCCTTTTATCTAATTTTTTCATTTTTTAAAACTTTAATGTTTAAACCAGTCATATTCACTAGTTTACATTGTTAAAAGCTCTCAATTTGAAATTAATTTTAATATTCCTTTGCAGCGCTTATTTAATGAACATTTCGTTGCTTAATTTAAATATAATTTTAAATAAATAAAACAATGACCATTTACTTGTCACGCTAAAAGTGATAGTGAAAGACAGGAATCTAACTACTTTTTGTCGACAAAATGACAATGACTTTACCCTGATGGGCTTCGCCTTGAGTCTTTTACCAAAAGTTTTGGTTGCTTCTGAAATAATTTTTTTGTAATAAGAATGACATTGTTTTGATTATTTTTAAGCATTATTGGCTACATTCTAGTCAAGGAAGTATTTTCTTAGTCGATAACAAACATTTTATGAATCTTATGGATAAATTATTGCATGTATTCTTATTCCAAATTAATTGGCATCTGGCATCGAAAACTTTGACATGGATGTTAATGGCAGGTCAAAATTAAGTTGGAATGACGTAGAGAAGGATGAATTTGTCTTGTATTTTTGACTCGTTAAATTTCATGTTTTATTTTTCAGCATGCATAATAATCTTTTTACAACCGTTTTTATGTACCTTAGTAAACTCAAAATATTGGACTCTAAGAAATGCTTGGCGAAGTTGGTGGCTGTTTTTGATAATGCAAATGATATTCTATACAGACGTCTCTTGGGGCCGGACCCAATTTCTCCCAGATTTGGAGTATCTACGATCCCCTCTAAAGCATTGGAGGTGGAAGGAGAAGAAATTCTGTCATCTCTAGTCTTGTATAAATGAATCATTTTCTTCATTGTTCAAAGTAATTTTCAAGTGCAAAAGGACATTTTACAGAGAATATGCAAGACGTTTATGTAGGAGCTGTAGACCAAGGAACTACCTCAACACGGTTTATGCTATTTAATAAACAAGGGGAACCTATAGCGTTTCATCAAGTAGAACATAAACAGGTTTGTTAGAAAGGCTTTGTTATCTCTTCATCAATGAGTATATGACTTGATTGATTAGATATATCCACAACCAGGGTGGGTAGAACACGATCCTGTGGAGATAATCAACAACACCATACTTTGCATCGACGAGACAGTGAAGAAATGTCAAGCAAAGGGAATTCAAACGGTGTGCTCTTTTTTATTTTACTATGTAAAAAGGAATTGACAGTTTTATTTTTTCTAGTCACAAATCAAAGCGATTGGCATAACCAACCAGCGTGAAACCACTGTTGTATGGGACAAGTACACTGGAAAACCTCTTTTCAATGCTATTGTTTGGCTGGATACGAGAACCAAGGAAACTTGTGAAAAACTGGGAAAGAATAGAGACCAGTACAGAGATCTCTGCGGTCTTCCTGTATCAACTTATTTTTCAGGAGTTAAGCTTCGTTGGATAATAGACAATGTCCCCGATGTGAAAGCGGCACTTGAGGAAGGCAGAGCGATATTCGGAACGATTGATACTTGGTTAGTATGGAACTTGACAGGACGCCAGGCGCATGTAACAGATATTACAAATGCTGGAAGAACGCTTTTAATGAATATCGAAAAATTGCAATGGGAACCCAAACTATTACAAGCTTTGGGTATTCCAAAACAATGCTTGCCTGAAATTCGTTCAAGTTCGGAGAGGTAATGCGAAATGTCTTTGATATGGAGTTGATTGAACAAATTGATTAGATATGGCACACTTGCATGCTCACTCTTACAAGGTGTTCCTATCAGTGGAATCCTTGGCGATCAACAAGCCGCATTGGTGGGTCAGACCTGTTTTCGTAAAGGAGATGCCAAGAATACATATGGTACAGGTTGCTTTTTAATTGTAAACACTGGAGAAGGCGAAGGACCTGTTCCATCCAAACATGGTCTATTGACTACACCGGGTTATCAGTTAGGTCCAGACAAGCCTGTTGCCTATGCTTTGGAAGGCTCCATTCCTATAGCAGGTGCAGCAGTTCAGTGGCTTCGTGATAACTTGCAAATCATCAAGACTGCTCCAGAAGTTGAAGATTTAGCCAATTCAGTAAAGGATAGTGGGGATGTATTCTTTGTACCAGCATTTTCTGGCCTATTTGCTCCTCATTGGCGTGAAGATGCCAGAGGTGTTATTGTGGGTCTTACACAATACACTACCAAGGCACATATTGCTAGAGCCGTATTGGAAGCCGTATCTTTTCAAGTTTGTGATATTATTGGTTCTGTAGAGGCAGATTCAAAAGCTACTATTAAAGTTTTAAAGGTAGACGGAGGCATGACGGCTAATAATACTTTCTTACAACTACAATGTGATTTACTTCAATGTCCCATTGTTCGTCCGCAAGTTACCGAAACCACAGTGATTGGTGCGGCATTTGCTGCTGGTTTAGCAGAAAAGGTTTGGTCATCACAAGAAGAGTTGGTAAAACTTTGGAAGGTGGATAGAGAATTTTCGACCAAAATTTCTATTGATGAAAGTAGCCGACGTTGGAAGCGTTGGAAACAAGCTCTAGAGCGGAGCTTTGGATGGATCTAATAAAGTCATTTGTCTGTGTTTTAAAAATCATAGAATATCGAAAGACTATTGTTGAGGTACAACAAACAAGTTTGGATTCTGATCTTCATTGAATTCCAAATATAATTATATGAAATGGCGTTGCATTTTTTCTCAAGGAATGGCGCGAATATCGACGACCCGCCTTTTATTGTCCAATAGGGTGCAATTCGAAAGTAGATGTCCTAGAGAACAATCATCCAACAGGTCGATCTTCGAAAGACGACCCTCTAGTCGAGACAGAATCCAAAAAAAACAATCAATCAAGTACCCAGTTGTAGAGAGAGAATGGAAAAAAGACAACCATAAAGTAGTACAGGAGTGAAAATGAAGAGTGGTTGAAAAAACCAAAGGTTGTACAGAGTGCTTGTGCAAACCTGACCAATGAGAGCATTCTTAAAGTAATCCAGCAGATTTCTAGGGGAGACAACCACCTTTTCGTTCGAAATCAAGTTTTAGAAAGTCTTCAGTTGACTGCCCATTTGGTCAATTTGCTGCAGCTTTGTCAGGGGTCAACAACTTTTCTTTGTCAGCTGATTGACGTGAATATCTTCTCCAAAAACATAATTGAACTGCTTTCCAATTATGAAGGTTCTCAATTGGCATGTTTGAACATTCAAAGTCGTTACTTTTCAGTTACCTCTGACAAAACGAAGCTACTGAATGCGTTCTGTTTTTCTTACGTGGATAAGGCTAAACCGTGCAACATTATTGCATATGTTTTACAGACACTATTTTGTGATGATCCAGAAGCAAGTATTTGTGTTGTCGAAGGAAGTGGAGTAGCGTGCGTATTGTTGGCTGACTTTTGTCACATGTACGGCTTAACTGAGTTTGTGGGAGGAAGGAATTGGCCTGCACTGTTAATTGTATCTGGATTTCCTAGTGGAAGGAATCTTCTAGTTCCAGTTTTTTGATAACTTTTTGTCTATCTTATGAGGATAGCATATTGTCCTTATCCATGTATAATAATAAAATGAATTGTTCTTCTACTTAACATATTGTGGAGTTTTCATGAAATAGTTTCATCAAGAAAGAAAACTTTATTGACTCTTAGCTTCTATATATTATTACACAAGAACAACAACAATTAAGAACTGTCTTCCAATTCCCTTTTAGCAAAAAGAGGCAATACAAAGGCTGCCTGATGTATTTCAGGACAATAATATTTCAATGTTTGTAGTAAGGTCATATCAGGTTTTCTCAAAGGCTGCCGTATGTTATCACGTACCGACTTGGAGCAAATAGCAAAACCGATCTATTCACTTTGTTTTAGCTATCCGATGAAGTAAGAAATAGGACGGCTACCTGTCCTCCAGGATATGTTGGAATCATCGTATAAGCGTATGAAACGGAAGCAAAAATATTTCGACAAGTATCAAGCAATGGACGTATGAGGTCCATGTGCAACCAAATACTTTCTGCTTGACAACAACATATTCCATCTGGTTTGAGTGCAGTATGTAGGCTTTCATAAAACGGTCTTTGAAATAGAACGTCTGCTGGACCTACAGGATCGGAGGAATCGGTTATAATTACGTCAAACGAATGAGGATGTTGTCTCAAATATTCTGCTCCATCTCGATATTCTATTTTGACTCGAGGATCATCTAAGCCAACAGATAATTGGGGGAGATAAGTCTTACACACGTCGACTACCATCTGATGCCAAAGCTAAGCAAGCAAGATTTCTCAATATAAAGCAAACATACACTATCGATTTCACATAATACTATTTCTTGAACGCAATCATGTTTCAGGACTTCTCTGATAACACCTTGGGTTGGAAAACAAAGAGAAGAATGGTTGTTAACGAAGAAGAATGATAACTATAGAATGAGGACGCACCGCCGTCACCTCCACCAATTACCAAAACACGTTCCGGACAGTGGTGACTAAACATGGGCAAGTGTACTATCATTTCCTGGTAAGCAAACTCATCTCGCTCAGTTACTTGGATGACTCCATCTAACACGAGAACTTTTCCATATGTTTTGCTTTGGAAAACGAGAATATCCTTGGAGTTGCCAATCAGTCCATTTGCGTCGCTGTTTTGATACCACTCACTTGAAATTTACTCTTTTCACTGAATAAAACTTGCTCTATTTGTAGAGATTGTGCTTGTCCAGGCCATAACACACTACGCTCCGTAAACCAGTTGAGTTGTTCATCTTGATGATGATGGTTCATCGTCCAATGTTGTTTTATTGTGAATATGAATCTTTTCAATTTTGGATATTCTTTATTCTATGGTATTGGAATCGTTTATCAAAAATTCTTGTAAGAAACATGAGAAAGAGGTTTTAAGAGTTCCATTTCTAGGGTTGGTTTATAAAGATTCCTTTTTTATGTTGTAGTGATAGAATGTATCCATAAAAAGATATCAACAATAGCATATGTATTGTATACTTGTCTATTCAATCACTTGACAGGGAAATATACACAACCACATATACAAATATATATATATATATAGATAGATAGAGAGAGAGAGAGAGAGAACGTCCAAAAGGAAATCACGTGACCTTATCATTTCTTCTTCTATTGATTTTGTTGTTATTGAAGAATTGATGATGTCAGTAGAAGTAGTCTCACCTCGAGAAGCTCAAAAGCGTTGTAAAGAAGAAGGTTGGAAGCTTGTCGATGTTAGAACTATCGAGGAATATAATCGTGAGTATTTTTATGCTTTGAATAACTGAAACAGCTTCATTCTTGTGTTCTATAGAAGGGCATCCAAGTGGCAGTCGTTGCATTCCGTATATGATTAAAGAAGGAGGAGAAATGAAACCCAATAGTTCGTTTCTTTCGGAAGTAAAAAAGGTCTTCCAACCGGATGATAAAATTCTTATTTCTTGTCAAAGCGGTAGACGTTCTTCGATGGCAGCAAAGGTCTTGAAAGAGGCTGGATATTCTCACTTGGCTGATGTAGACGGTGGATTTTCCAAGTGGTGTAGTGAAAAACTTGATATTGAAAAGTAGTGAAAAATAAAGAGTCCTCGGGACAAGTTGTGTGTTGGTGGAGGGAAATGAAACGATGCTTGGAAAGTTGAGCAACGATGTTGACCAACTTGCCTATTGTAACTCTATCCTTTTTTCCTCACAGTATAAGAAACCACTAAGAAATAGAGACAAAAGTATTGGCAAATATCCATCTCGAGAGAAATGTGCAGAGCATCGCCACTCAAGGTTAGGGTATTGGGTTACTATGACAGCAACTCACGACCAAGAATCTTGCCATATTTCTGTTTCTTATACAACAGCACCAGTTCCTCATTTGAGCCATTTTCTGTCGGAACTTGAGAGTTTTCCACATCCCTTTCTTTTGGAAAACGCAACTAGTTATCGACCACTCAACACGAACTTTATTTCAGAACAAGATGCCGTTATCAACAGAATTGTATGGAATAAAAGTGAAACACCGAAACTCATTTTGTATCCTCGTGCTGGTCCAAGAGAAAGAATTGTATTTGCACCAAAGAAAGTAAAGGCAGCTATTGTGACTTGTGGAGGTCTTTGTCCAGGTCTCAATACGGTGATTAGGGAACTTACAGAATGCCTGAGCTACCAATATGGTGTTGCTGATATTTTTGGAGTTTTACAAGGATATCGAGGATTCTATAGCAAAGAGTGGATTCCACTGACAACTGAAAAGGTAGATAACATTCACAAGATGGGTGGAACAGTATTGGGTTCGTCACGTGGTGGTTTTGACTTGAATAGAATAGTGGACTCCATCGTACAAAATGGAGTCAATCAGGTTTATGTGATTGGAGGAGATGGTACTGTTCGAGGTGCAGCAACATTGAGTGAAGAATGCAGAAGAAGAAAGTTGCAAGTTACAGTTGCTAGTATTCCTAAAACAATAGACAATGATATTCCGATCATTGACAAGTCCTTTGGTTTTGATACTGCTGTGCAGGAAGCTTCCAAAGCCATCGATGCTGCACATACCGAAGTCTCTTGTTTTCCTAATGGAGTGGGTATAGTCAAGTTGATGGGAAGAAATAGTGGATTTATTGCGTTGCATGCTTCCTTATCCAGTAGAGAAGTGGTAAGCATTTATCATATGGATGAAATAGCTATTTTCATAGTAGTTAGGATTGTTGTCTTATACCTGAAGTACCTTTTGTTATTCATGGAAGAGGTGGTTTGATTGAATATATTCACAAGTGTTTGATAGAAAGAGGTAAAATGGTATTGGTCGTTGCAGAAGGTGCTGGTCAAGAATATGTTCGTAACCATCATGATTGGATAGATCAGTTGGATGCTTCAGGAAATAAGAAACTGGGAGATATTGGACACTTTTTATATCAAGAGATAGAATCCACGTTTAAGAAACAAGGAATAGAAGTTAGTATGAAATATATCGATCCAACTTATATGATAAGGGCAGTTGCTAGTAATGCATCAGATAATATTTATTGTACTTTGTTGGCTCATTCTGCAGTTCATGGCTCCTTTGCAGGATATACAGGATTTACGGTGGGCCCTATCCATGGAAGACATGCATATATTCCTATGACTGAAATAGTAACTGCACAAAAGCAAGTAGACTTGAGAGACCGCATGTGGTCAAGATTGGTCAATTCAACTGGACAACCTGACTTTTCTCCGAGAGATATTCCAAAAGGCTTCCAAGGGCCTTGTATTTATTCTCGAGAAGAAGAATCCTTTGAAACTACTAAAACAGTGGATAAAGGATTTCCAGGAGAAACTCCTTAGATAAAACATTCTAGCATTTCTATATATCTTACTAGCAATATATATAGAGATATATATATATATTCAGAATTTCATATCTCTAGGTCTCATCCATATATCATGAATATCCACTAAACTAGGACAAGATAATATATAAACAATGCTATCTGCAATATCTTTGGGTTCCAAACACTTCATCGATCGATACAAATTATTGGCAAACTCTTCACCTCCCACGTGGACATAAAATTCTGTTTCAACATGTCCAGGACTAACCATAGCTACTCGAATATTGGAATGGGCTTCTCTCAGTTCCTGACGAAGACAGTCTCCCAACATCTTGACTGCTGCTTTTGTAGCGGAATAGAAAGACAAGGCAATAGGACGATGAGCTGCCATGGAACTTAGGTGAATAATTATACCATCATCGACATTTCTTCTTTTCATGTCTTGAATAACTTCTCTGGTAAGAATAGATAGTGCCAATACA